GACCTTGGGTCTGTGGGTCTCGAGCACTCTATCTGGTGAACATGATGAGCACACCGCAAGAGGACTCTTCATCGCGTTCACAGTATTGTATGGCTTGTTTGCGAGCGCATATGTCAGCCTTTTCACGCCATCGCTGGTAGAGTTGTTTGGTATGAGAGAACTGCCACGGGTCGCCGGGGTCATGTTCATGGCTCAAGGCATTGCATCTATGATCGGAACACCTGTGGCCGGCGTATTGATTCGGGGCAATGAGGCCACAAAGACTTCCGAAGACTATCTCGGAATGGCGGTTCTCGTCGGAGGGTTAATGTTTGCTGCCGCTGCTTCTGTGGCTTGGGTGAGACTGGAGGTGACATGGGATCGGGCAGGTGGCCAAAAACGGTGGAAATGGAAATTGTAAGCACCTTCTACCTACCAGACCGCAAGATTTGGCAGCCGTCAATTCAGGAGGAGTCTCGCGTCGTGCTGATGCACCCTGGTGGACGTTGGCTTTGCCAAATTGCAATAAGAACCAACGTCCCCCTCTTTTACAAGGGGATATCGCAGAATTACGAGAAGCCATGCAAAGAACTGCTGATACCAGAACTATTGAAACCTGTCCTGAAAATTTCAGAATGCTCCTCTTGATATAATTTTGATTCGCGCCCGGTTTCTCAAGCACTTCATGGTCTCATCAACGAGCAAGAACTCTTCTCCTTTTCCATTATCCCTTCGCGTGCCCCTGCCATGCAACGCCCATTGATAAACTCCACCGCCAGGCCCAAGATTGTGGCTACACAACGCCCATCGCTAGCTTGATTGGGCCCGAAGCAAGGTCACATTTTGGTGCTCTCTTCTCCAGAAGCATTGCAGCAATGGCAAGCGATATTCTCGACTTTGCTGCTCCGAACGAGCTGAACAGTGCCGAGACAAAGGTCCTATTCGACACCGTCGACAAACTTTTGCCCTTCGGTCTCAGCAAAATCGCCAATCTACCCGAGATAATTGTCATCGGAGATCGATCTTCGGGAAAGTCCAGTGTACTTGAAGCCGGCGCAAATGCCCGCCTCCCGGGAATCGTGGCGAAAGGCCGTTTCACGACTGAGGTGATCCTTCGTCGCGGCGTCCGCCAAAGTGTGACTGCGACGATTCAGTTCGCAGACAACATCAAGGCGCCTCACTCACTGAACCTTACAAATTTCAGCCCGAAAGATATGGACGAGTTCAAAGGAGAGATTGGGAAACACATGGGACTTCCGGAACTGGGCAGCAATTTCTCTCTGGATGTCTTACGCCTGGAGATCGAAGGCCCGAACTTATACCCTTTGACATTGGTCGATCTCCCAGGCCTCTCCCACACGGCAGCATCAGCACACCCACCCGAGAATAAGGGGAGCATGATGAATTTGGTGGAGAGCTACATGAAGAAGCCCAACAGCATCATCCTAGCGGTTGTCTCTGCCGAAAACGAACTGGAAAGTCAGTCCATCATGCAAGAGGCAGCTAAGTATGATCCTTCCAGGCAGCGTACCCTTGGACAAGCCGGACTTGATGCATCCAGGATCCCCAGAGGAGAACGAGTATCTGAAAATTGCTCGAAGCCGCGAGGCTGCTAGCAACTTGGGCCTTGGCTGGCACGTTCTATGCAACCGCAAGGATGACGGAGACCTCGATCCGCGGGAGTTTGTCGAGGAGGAATTCTTCGAATCAGGTCTCTGGTCGTCAATTCCCGCCCCTGATCGAGAAGTACGTGCCCTTGAGGTGAAGCTGAGGCGCATGCTCCACGACCACATCAAGAATGGTGTTCCCATGGTGTTGGGGGACCTTCAAGAAAGCCTATCCGACCGTGAAGTTGAGTTAAGTCGGCTGGGAGAACCGAGGACCACGCCGCAAGATATGCGAGCTTACCTTATCAACATAGCTGAAAAGTTCAAAAAGCTTGCCCGCGACGGCATTCGGGGTCACCACGATGCCCCGTTCTTCGGTGGCCTTGATGGAACACACAAAAAGCTTCGTTCTCAGCTGCGAGATCTCAACCGAGCCCTTCGGCATATTCTACTCACACTTGGCTCTGCTCAACTTGTCATGGGACGCCCGAATGCCGGCCCACTGCAAGAGGCGACACCTGCATACCTTGAGGAACTTCTCCAAACCTACACCGATGAAGTCCCTTGCTCTCAAATTGTCGCGTGGGCAGACCTGAATTCTCAATTGGAGAAACAATCAGCTGCTAGTCAGGGAACACATTTTTTTTCGTTTTTGTCAATATGGACATCGTCATGCAGCTGTTGAGATTGTCGGATCGTACGGCTCTAGTAGCACAACGAGTAATTTCTATCCACTTGTGTCGACCCCTTCTTCGCCAAGAAAGAAGACCTGCTGTCAGACAAACTTGGAGATATTATGCGGCCACACAAGGAGGGGTATGCTTTGCCTCTTGACACTGATTTCCAGGAGACTTTGGGAAGGACGATTGCTAAACGCCCCACCCCGCAAGCCGGAAACTTGACGATCTCGCGCCAACAAACCAATGTTTCAACAGTTTCTTCAGCGGCTCACTGGCATGGGGCAGGTGTCATTTTTTGACGCTATGCAAACCTTTTACGATGTAAGCCTGGCACACTTGGTAGCCAAATACCGTGGCCAAGTCTAACGTTGTCTGATTTAGTCTGCCTTGCTAACATTCACTGACAACGTCATTAACCTCGCAATCGAGAACTGCTTGATCCAAGACCTCCCTTCAATTTTCACACCGAGGCTTGTCAATGATATAATTGATGGAGAAGTGTCACATATAGCGATGTAATCTGATGATGTCCGGAGCTATCGCTCTGAGCTCGAGGAACTTATCAAGCAGCTGAAGCGGGGGCTCGAAGTGTGTCGCCGCTTCCGATCCAGATCAACTGTTGCAAAGTTGAGGTCTACAACAAAGAGCATTCATGAAACTCGAACGGCAACCACGCCGACTTCGGCACTAGACGATTTCGGAGCCATGGCACCCTTCACTCAGCCACAAACAGTTCAACTACCCTCGAGACGAATCCCGGAGATGCCAAAGCCCAAGGCAGAAGTTTCGGAAGTACCTTATCATAAGGTACTGGGCTGTTTGGAACATCAACAGCTGTACCCGGCCTCTCGACTTCAGCAACCGCGCCGCTGGCCTTTTCAGCTGCCCAAGAGACGAACAAGTTCGCTTTTCGAAACCCGGTCACAGGTAGTGTCTACTCTTCGGGTGCTCCTCCTAAATCTAAGCAAGAAATTGTGCCACACAATATTAAAAAGGCAAGGGGCCCTCCATCAGCCTCTTCAAATTCACCTGCAGTCCTTAATGGGAAGGTTTGGGGAGACTCAATCAAATAGTCCTTCAAGCCACGCTCACCAGCTCCCAAGACGGGCTCCGGCATTCAAATCACAACGTGCTCCGGCATTCAAATCACAACGAACAATCCAAGTGCGTCCCCGTAGCCTGTGGCAGAGTAATTGTTCAACCAATTCGTAGCTATCAAAGACGAATCGAAAAGATGTCATGAGGTCTAGCTTAGACACTGCACCATGTTGATCCCTATGTCGAAGGCCGAATTACGGATATACCACCATGCTCAACACAATGAAGATTTCTTTTATCATTACATAGGTGCCTGGAAAGAATATTTGGGGTTTTCACAGGAGGAGATCAGGTTGGCGGATTATTTTGCCAACTTTAAGAATGAATAAACGCGGCTGTCGGAGGGACGAACATATGGTGGGAGCGATTTGTGGAGTGCTCATTGATCCACATCAGTTGCATTCTAGATTCCAATAATAAGTAGATGTTTCATCAAGTAGATTATGGAACCCAGAAGCTTTCGGCCTCTTTCAAGAATAGAATATGCAAGTGTTGAGCCAACTCTGGCCAAGAGTCTTCAACGCCAATTTGAACCCTCAATTGTTTGACATGCCCCGCGTGTTGCTGAAGCTATCCTGCAACGGGACAGGGATAGAGCTCCTCAGTCTCCATCCGAATGAGTGGGCATGACGTACGCATCGCTGCTCGCTGTTAAGCTGTCTGTTCACTGCTCACCTGAACATTGGGGAGCGATCCTCATTTTGACTCAACCAAGATGGACTCGGTGATCCGAATGAAGACCTCGCTTCCGCTAAGACGGGAGCAGCAGTCGGGAATTTCTTCGCGGGATCCGCGGTCACTTTTGTTGGGGTTTGGGGGGCGGGCAGAAAGTCAACAGTAACAGCTCAGCGAGTCACAGCTCCACCCGGTGGCATCAACGTGCCGACCGCGAGAGAGCTTGTGCGAGCGGAATTACCCTATTGTATCGTTTCTTTTCTGGATGACCTGCAGCTACGCTGCCCCTTGCCCCTCACCTCCATCCCTCAACCTCTCCACCCGTTTCCACCAATCCCCGGAGCCACATCCGCTTGGCCGAAGCTACCATGCCGGTGTACCTCCTAGCAGTGCTTCCTGAATTGACTCAGACATGCGACCGTAGCTAACCGCCGGCTTAGCTTTCCAGCGCCAGCCAGCCAGCACCGGCCTGGCTTGCTGGGCCTGATCGGTTACTCGGTCACTTTCTTGGTGTTGGCAAGGGGGGATGAGATGCTGATCGACCGATTCCCGAGACGTGCGAACCCTGAAGCTACAAAACCCCTCACCCCTCATTCTCAATGCCGAGTCGAAGCTCTTTGACAGCTGGCTCTTGATTTTGACCTTTCTTCAAGCTTTTGCGGTACAGAATTGACGGGAGAGAACCGGACCGTGACAGCCGGGCTAAGGAGTACATCTTCCCATTGGAAAGCCAATTGCCGAACAACACCGAGGCTTCTGTGTTTCTATCCCTGACGCGTCAGTCACGCCAGTACATCAAGGTGTCGATTCCAGAAACACGATAATCATCAGAACGAGAACCAACACAATGGCCGTAGCCAGGAACGTCGTCACACGGGGTCTGCGACGGGCTGCCCTCGAAAGAAATGTTTTCTCCTCACAGATGAGCAGGCGGTCGATGCCGCTCGTGTCCCGGGCATGCATGTCATCTGTTGCCGAAGCCATCGCCGTTGCCCCCGCTCCGCCGCCACCGGTCGAGGACCCAAGCTTCCGCGCCGCCCAACGGGCCACAGAGGCCAAAGAGATCATGCGCCGCGCAGTCAATGCAACGGGAGTTAGACATGACTGGACGAGGGAAGAGATCTCCGCCATCTACTATCAGCCATTGATGGATCTGGCCTTCCAAGCTGTATGTCACTTCGTCCCGAATTCGAACCCCTGCTAACAATTCTTCTGCCCAGGGATCCGTCCATCGTCGATTCCACAACCCCGCTGAGGTCCAGCTCTGTACCCTCATGAACATCAAGACCGGAGGCTGCACCGAGGACTGTTCCTACTGCGCCCAGTCCACCCGTTACTCTGACGGCACCGGCCTGAAGGCGAAAAAGGTTGAGAGCGTCGAGTCAGTGCTGGCAGCGGCACGCACCGCCAGGGACAACGGCAGCACACGCTTCTGCATGGGCGCCGCTTGGCGTGACATGCGTGGCCGCAAGAACAGTCTCAAGAACATCAAGGCCATGGTCAGCGGCGTGCGAGAGATGGGAATGGAAGTCTGCGTCACGCTCGGCATGATTGACTCCGAGCAGGCCAAGGAGCTCAAGGAGGCTGGATTGACAGCGTACAACCACAACGTCGACACCAGTCGCGAGTTCTATCCCTCCATCATCTCCACAAGAAGTTACGATGAGCGTCTGAAGACACTAAGCCACGTTCGTGATGCTGGTATCAACGTCTGCTCTGGCGGTATCCTTGGATTGGGAGAGTCGTCGGATGACCGTATCGGACTATTGCACACCGTCTCGACCCTGCCGTCGCACCCAGAGAGCTTCCCAGTCAACGCGCTTGTTCCGATTAAGGGTACTCCGTTGGGTGACAGGACACCGATCCAGTTCACGAGCATGTTGAGGACCATCGCGACTGCGCGAATCATTATGCCATCCACCATCATCCGCATTGCCGCTGGAAGGAAAACGATGTCGGAGGAGAAGCAGGCGCTGTGCTTTATGGCCGGTGCCAACGCCATCTTCACGGGAGAGAAGATGTTGACGACAGACTGCAACAACTGGGACGAGGACGGCGCTATGTTTGGCCGCTGGGGCCTGGAGCCAATGAAGAGCTTTGAGAAGTCTGAGAAGCCCGTGGCTGAGGTTAAGTTGGTTAACCTGTGATAAATGACTGGTAGAGCAGAAGTATAAATGAGACAGACTGAGCGATTGGGTACTGATAGAGACCGACCCACCTGTGGGCTCAGCTGTGACTCTCGCACTGCATCTCATACCTAAGGCTGAATCTTTGATCCTTTTCACATGCAAGCCGTTATCTGTCGTGTAGAGAGCCACGTGATCACGTCACTTCTAGCAACAGTTGTCGAAGGATCGAGAGTGCTGTCTAGGTTTCGTCTGATATGATGCCACGCACGAGCCGACACGTTGACACCGAGCTTTGCATACACCCAAACATGTTGCGACACGCAGTTTCTTCCAGGAGCTAGCCAGAACACTCTGAAATGATGGTTGAGGCGGAATCCGGGCTCGTCAAGGATCCCGAACGTAAAAGTTTCGCGTAGCAACAGCCGCTTTCCGAAGCTATGGCTACTCCGATGATTTGCATCGGGGTTGGCAGAAGCCCAATGCAAAGGAACTGCTGTTTAACCCAGCTTCAATGAGAAGTAGAGAGAAATACTCAGACTACCTCCATTGAGCTCTTGAGCGCATGCGCTTGAATGCGCTCTGGAATGCTAAAGTCCAGGCCATGTGCTGCCATCAATCCGGGGAGAGCAGCACTCCGAACCATTTGTCCTAGCTTACAGAAGAAGTCTTCCAAGAAGCCGTTACGAAGTATGGGACGAGGCCCGTGAGTCTCTTACCTCAGAAAATAGAAGTGAGGGAACGATTCAGCGACAGTCTGTTGAGAGCTAACGCCGTTGATGAGACGATTCGGAGCTCACGAGGCGATCCTTCCGCTTCGGCACATGGAGGTGGCATCATAAAGCATGGATGAGCTCCTGCTAGCTTGCTGCCGAGCTTTAGCTCGCCTTCAATTATCCACCAACCAAACTGAGAGCGATTTGCAAGCGTAATAGTCCACAGTTGACGACATCACACGACATCATGGGCTCTCTTGCAGACTATTCGGTGCCACAAGAGGCTAAGGCAGCCTTCATCAGTGGGATTTTGGAGAACCCTCTCATGAAGGACATCCCGAGTGATCTAAAGTCTCTCGGGCATCATGTCAAGTTCGAGGGCACCAGCAGGCCTAGCATTCCCGTTAATTGGAAATTCGCGGAAAGCATTGCCGCATTGAAGGCATACGAGGCGACACTGGTTAATCGATTGATTATGAAGAAGTACAACAGTCAACCAGCAGAAGTCACTATTAACAGGTAAGTAAGGCCAAATAGTGTGAATTCCTACTGAAAAGCTTACTGACTTGGAATGGGTAGCGATCATGCAGCATTATTCTTCTTTTCGCCCCTGATTGCCTCTTTGATCGGAGACGACGGCAAAAAGACCCCGATGGCAGTCGCAGGTTTCTTGCCCGAGGTGATGAAGATGTTTCCCAATACAGATCTCCATAGATGCTCTGCGAGCCTTCACAGACAACTTGCGACCAACATCTACAAGACCAAGGACGGGAAATGCTATCAGATGCACTGTAAGTCAGCAATCTCAATGAGATGAAGACGGCTCTAACGTGGAGGCAGCTGGCATTAATCCCGACCCAATCCTCAAGACCCTCGGCATGCCGGCCGACGGCGAGACAATCGACACGTACGACGCTGTGGTCGAGCGCTTTGCGAAGGTCGTTACGCAGTACAATTGGAAGGAACTCGACGAGCTCCTTAACGAGAAGAATAAACATGAGGGGTGCATTGCATGGTCATCTCAGGAGTACTTTGCCAGCGAGCAAGGCAAAGCGGTCGCACATGTTGGACTCTACGAGATCGCCAACGCTAATGATGCGTCACATACGGGAACTTGGTGGCCTGAGAATGACCACCTTCCCTCATCACCACAGAGGCCTCTCGCAGGCCTCAAGGTCGTCGACTTGTCTCGCATCATCGCAGGTCCCGCAGTCTCCCGCGGCCTCGCTGAGCTCGGGGCTAGTGTGATGCGCGTTACGTCCCCCCACGTTACCGACATGTCCGTCCTTCACCAGGACCTCAACTGGGGCAAGTGGAATTGCCATTTGGATCTCAATAATGAGGCAGACAAGGAGAAACTGAGGGCCCTCATTCGGGATGCGGACGTCGTTGTCGACGGCTACCGCCCCGGTGTGATGCAAAAGCACGGTTTCGGTCGGGAGGACATCTTTGACATGGTCAAGGGCCGTACTCGGGGAATTATCCATCTCCGCGAGAACTGCTACGGGTGGCATGGGCCTTGGAAGAATCGTGGTGGGTGGCAGCAAGTTAGCGACGCGGTGAGTCGAGACGAACATATTTCGGTGAGAGACTGCGCTGACTTTTGATTCTTAGTGCTGCGGCGTTTCGTCCGCTTATGGTCGGGCTATGGGCCATGATGAGTCTGTGGTGCCAGCCTTCCCCGTGGCTGACTACGGGTAAGTAGAATTACCTTATCTAAAGGAATGCCTTGAGCTAATAGTTGGATAGTGCCAGCATTTGTGGCAGTGCGGGTGTTCTGGACGCCTTGATGAGACGGGCGGAGAGGGGCGGTAGCTATGGCGTTGATGTGAGTCTGCCCGGAATCTCTCCCCTTCATCTGCTGACCGACAAAGGTTGCGTTGAACTATTACACCCAGTGGCTCATCCGCTCTTGCGGTGAGTACCCGGAGCCGGTATGGAAGGAGCTCTGGAAGCGCCATGGTTCACCAGTATACAGGCATTATCATGCTATGCCGTATACGGTGCCAGCCGTGGGGAAGCTTCTTTACCAGCATGATATGGACACCCTCTTCCAAGAACACTTCTTAGAGCCGCGGAGGTCAAATGCCGTTGACGGTACTTTCATGGTGGTCAAGCCTGTTGCTCAGTACGCCGACAAATCTGTCGACTTGAGATTCAATGTCGGCACGAGAGGCAACGGTGTTGACCAGCCGATCTGGCCTGCCGATCTTTCTGTTGAAGTCGTCAAGAACTAGGAAAGGGCTTGTCCTTTACGAATCCACAAGGGCAATTCACGTTGTTTGCACGTTAGAGTAATCAACTGAAGAATAACAAAAGTGTTATTTTAGGAAAGTTTCTATCATGTAGGTCTTGATATCAAGAGATTACAAAAGAATACGCTTGTTTCACTGTTTCAAATCCCGTACGTATGGATGTCCCAGACGTAGTTATCGAGCGGAACCCTCCGACTTGGAAATCCACACGCACTATCTTCTTTCGTATAGCAATTGGATTTGCCATGAGATTATCTTATTAGGAAGCTACCTCTTTGCGTCGAAGTTCCTCAACAGCTATGGCCAGCTCAGCAGGTGTGATCCCAGCGGGATCACGAAACTGCTTATATGACTCCCCGTCCTTTGGTCCCAATACCCCGGCGTCCTTCACGAATCCCCTATGAGAGTCGAAAAAGAACAGTGTTGCATGCAGTTGGTCAGGCGCTACTTCTGTGGTATGAAAAGCAGCTGCAGGAATAGAGTACGTATCGTTCCGTACATGCTTCTCAGTGGAGGTCTCGACGGCCTTGAACAGCTTTCCTGTATTCTGCACAATGGAATAGGCTTGATGGGTCTTGTACGTCTCATTCTGCCCCTTTCCATCATTCCACGCAAGGGCGTACCCCGCGTTTGTCGCCTCGTCCACATCCTCAACGGCATCAACTTGATAGGCGTGATCTCGCCCCTCACCCGCGAGGATCCAGCTCTGTGCAAAGGGCTGATGAGAGTGTAGTGTGAAGTCTGGGTTCGCGCGCTTGCCATCAGGCATCCAGACGTGTAGACGGAAGAGCTCGTCGATGCTCCCATCTTTGAGCAGGCTGCAGAGAGGAACGGCCAGCAGGCCTTGAGCGCTGCGGTTTGCGGTGAAGAGGTTTCGGGAGAGATTCTTGCTTGTGAGAGCTGCGCGGATAGTGGTCCATATCCGGTCTAGATCTTCCGGTGTTGCTGGTTGATTCTGGCGGCATTTTTCTCGCACAGAGGCGATTGCGACAGATAGAGAGGCAATGTGGAGAGACGTCTCATCGAGGTCTGACATAGTTTCTTCGATTAACGAGTTCCATTCTTCGATGGAAAGACCCTCTGAATGCGCCTTGTTCACTATGTTGTTCTGTTCTGATGACGCGAGCGCGACGTTGAAGTCAACCCTATTCAATTCCTCCTCCGTGGACTTCGTAGCATTTGCGATCCCCTGTAGGGACCTCAAAACTGAGGATACTGTAATCGACATTTTGGGCTGTTTGTTGGCTATCGTAGGCTTGAAGTGTGCTACCCGTATAATGAGATATGTATGCACTGGTGCGTGATCATCTGGACCTTGCCCATGCGACAACAAGAAACTGAAGTTCTTAAATAAAAGATCTTGTAGATTGATAAGGCTTTGAGTAAGGCGTTCCAATGGGCTGTATTCTGACCACGTTAGGCAAGCAAGGGTGACCAACCGAAGTTGCACATCTGTACACAGCCTCATTTGGGGTATCCAGGCTGCAGGCAACAGCCCACTCCGCCCACAGCCATGTGCGGCACTTTTTGGAAGTAGATAATGCATGTATTCAAAGGCATAAGTAGCTATGATACACAAATTCCTATCGCAATTGTTTCGGTGCAACGACATACCGTTGGCTTTCTGCCTCAGGGCGATGTTCGCACAATGCACCAAAAACAAAAAGTCGAAATAAGAACCACGGAAGGTCTTATTTCGTCCAAGACCTGGCGCTGCTAGGCTACCTCAACCAGAACCAGGTACCTCGAGGACACTGCTGGCAGTCAATGTCAGCGGGCTTAGGAGCTAAGTAATCCAATACTCCATCGCCCCGGCTCCCGCTCCGACCCCCGGCTCCCGCTCATCACACTGGTCGCTTTTCACGCTGGCTGTGATCCCAAAAGTTTTCCGTATTCTCTCATCCTTCCTCCAACTAGACGCTTTGCGAGACCAAATCGTAGACTAGAAGGTACGTTTCAATCTCTAGATATTCTGAAATGAGAAGCTTCCAATGCTCTAAGGGCGGATTAGTATAGGCTGAATCCCAGGAGACCGTCACCCCCCGCTGCCAGACAAAATCTGGCACCGGTTAAGGAGGGTTTCGGAGAGAAAGTCAAAGTAATCAATGCAATTCGGCCGCTTGTTTCGATTTATCATTCACCTCACTGGGGTCAAGCAGTTAAGCGGTCGCCTCCTGACTGTGTTCTTGGAACGAAGACCTGGAGTTTTGATGTGGAGATGATGCATCACTACTTCGATGTGACCGCCGATGTACTCACTCGCCGAGCACATGCATCACGTCTAACACTTACGTCTAGCACACCATTAAATATTGATCAATGTTGATGAAGACATGAAAATACATCATTATTAAGCTACGAAACTCTTATTTTCCAACCCCATTGGTACCCTTCGCGGCCTTATGTGTCCCTGTTACAGGAGCGCCATTGTTGGCTGTTACACTCTTACCCTGCGAGACGTTAATGCCGTTCGCGTACCTGTTCTTCTCATCCTTTGCAAAACCATTGTGGGTACCGTTAAACCTCATGTTGGCAATGCCTTCATACCCCTTGATACCAGTACTCTTCTCCAGCCTCTCAGCAATCTCGGGGTCAACCTCCCTGAAGATGGCAATCTGCCTCTTCAATGGTTCCTGGTCCTTGCACAACTCCATCTTACCAGTAACATTGTTGATGAAACGCTCACGAGCGGGCTCGTCCCATACCTTCTGCCACAACGCGCGAGGAGCAACGAAGTCCTCGGGTCGGATCTCGGATAGGAAGGTGATGGCCTCGCCGGTGAAGTGGCCATGCGCCTTGTCCAAGTCGACAGTACGGCTCTTGAACTGTATGGGCGCTACGGAGCTGAGGTAGTTAGGCCTGGCGCCTTGGTTGAAGAAAGCCATGGCGCCATCGCGCTGGAAGTTGCCCGCGTTGAAGCCGTTTCGAGGGGCGTTAACGGGGAGTTGTTGGTAGTTTACGCCGATGCGGTGGCGATGCGTGTCTGGATAGGAGAAGAGTCGCGACTGCAACACGGGATCGGCTGAGGGCTCAATGCCAGGGGGCATGTGTGCAGGATTGAAGGCAACCTGCTCAACCTCGGCGAAGTAGTTGACGGGATTCTCGTTGAGGGTAAACTCGCCGATCTTCTTGAGTGGGTACTTGCCCTGCGGCCAGACATGCGTCAAGTCAAAGACGTTGATCTTGTCGTTCTCCCACGCCTCCTCGGCCTGCTTGGGGGTCATGGTCTGAACCTCGACGGACCACTTGGGGTAATCACCCTTCTCGATCGCCTCGAAGAGGTCCTTTCCGGAGTAGTCGGCTGACATGGTGAGGGAGTCCTCCTGGGTGATGAACTTGGTGCCCTGCTGGGACTTCATGTGGATCTGAGCGTAGACCCAGTCGCCGTCCTTGTTGACGAGCTTGAGAGTGTGTCCTGCATAGCCGTGCATGAAGCGGTAGCCGTCGGGAATGCCGCGGTCACCCATGAGAATCATGACCTGATGGATAGACTCGGGGTTTTGCGAAAGGTAATCCCAGAACTGAAGACCATTAGTGGCTGAGTCTGTTGAATACTCAAGTAAAACTTACCATAAATGAGTCGTCATTGTGGTTGAGGTTGGTCTGAGGGTTCCTCTTCTGCGTGTGGATGAAATGAGGAAACTTCGCGGGATCCCTCAGGAAGAAGACAGGCGTGTTGTTCGCAACCATATCCCAGTTACCATCCTCCGTCCTGAACTTCACAGAGAAGCCTCTGGGATCACGCTGAAGATCAGGCGAGCCAGACTCTCCTCCGACCGTCGAGAACCGCACCGTGATGGGGCACTTCTTGCCCTTGGTCGAGAAGATGTCGGCCTGGCTGAGCTCGGGAATCGGGTTCGTGCACTCGAAGAAGCCGTGTGCACCACTACCCTTGGCGTGAACGACACGCTCCGGGATTCTCTCGCGGTCGAAGTGTGACAGCAGGTCGATCAGGTGGAAGTCCTGCAAGAGCAACGGCCCGTTCTCGCCGCATCGCTGCGTCTCGTACGGGTGTGGCATAGGAACGCCGTTGCTGGTGGTGTAGATGGCGTCCTTGGACTGCATCCGCCTGTCCTTCTCGTAGGTGCTGAACTGGTTGGCCACGTGGGCCTGGAATGAGGTGTCGGTGGAACCCATGTTGAACGTCTTTTGTGCCGCGTCGATGGGGTGTTTGATGATTCTTTGGACTGTATCCATTGGGGTATACCACTATGCGATGAAGTGATCTTATATCAAGAGACGCGGCTGGAAACATGCCGCCTCTGGCCGGGCTTTTGGCCCTCGTCTTATGTTATGTGTGGCGACCATGGCGACGGGACGATCAAAGTCAATGCCATGACGCAGATGAACATGGTCCAAACATTCCGGCAGCTGCAACGAATCAGGGACTTGATATTACTACAGTGAGGTCCCGCGATGAGACAGCGGTGCTGTCGCAGTTGTTGTGGCGTGGAAGCTATTCCAAAGGAGCCTTAGGGCGCGCCTTAGGGCAGCCGGGATTCTCAAGTCAATGACGCTTGGAGCGGAAGCTTGACCACTCGATGGACTTGCGTCCTGTTCCAGAAGAGCACTTGATCGGCGTTCATTGGCTGAGTAACAGTGGCCATTGGCTCTTCATCACAAATCGTGGTCAGAAAATGGATGTGAAGATGCGTTCACTGCGGGGCAGACAGCTTGAAGACGAGGGCTAGGTGCCGGGGGCATTCCCACTAAGCTGGAAACGATGGAGAGCTGTCCGGGGCAACGGCAGAATCTCCATCTTTCAATATGGAATTGCTGAAATTCCATGCTCAAGAGACATAGAAACTACAGATTCGGGGCGAAACCACCGATCTGCATGAACACGCTCGATGATGTCTGCGAACGGGTGGCCACGGCCCGCTGATGTCATGGACTCGAAGCCCGAGCCAAGACCGATGACAGCCCCCACCCCCGCCGCAACCCACTCCGGGATGACATCGGCGATGGGTATCGGTGTTTGATAATCTTTTGAAGGTCTAGAACGGCCTTCCGGAGCTTTTGATCAGTAGCCACGTGGAATTAGTCTTATGGCAAAGAGTGTGCAATGAAGTAAACAGTGAAATAGCATGAATCAAAACTTTTCCCCTCTAAAGATACACCTGAGCCATGCATGCCAGTGTCAGTTGCTCTAATTACACATGTCCTAATCGGCAAGCTTCATCTTTCTTCGAAGCATTCTAGGCGTTCGGATAGTAAGTGACGGTTAATTGTGAAGTCGCTGTCGATAAATGAATGCAGCAGCATTTGAAATGAGGGATGTCTGCCCCCGTCGACCAAATCGAGACTCGGGCCGGCCTGTCGGCACCGGCAGTTGGTCGAGGACGTCACCCGCCGCTCATGGATGGTATGCCCTCCACGCGCGTGCATTCTGCTTTTACTCCTGTGGACTACTATCTTCAGTCTCCTCGTCAACTCTAACGCTATTGGGTGGTGGGTAATGCGCCAGGAGTAAGACACCGACGGCGACAACGGCGAGGGCCTAGACTGTGGTCAGCGATTGGATGAAGAAGTGCTGGAGATGAAACAACTCACCGCATTGCAAAAGAACGTCAAGTTAGGCTTGCCAATGGCCGCTAAAGACGCAAAGATGAGACCGAACAAACCCTGCGTCGTCAAGGTAGCTGCACTCTCTACGAGAGTGACTGCGCTCAGTGCGTCCTGACGCTGGTGGGGCGGGCACATCTCGGTGATGACACCCTTGGCGGCCGGGGCGGACCCGGAGGCGAACGGCAGCAGGAACGCGGCTGTCGAGATGTCAATATCGTACCTTGCAAGTGATATGAGGTGAGTGGGCTTACCAAGATACACGTGCCATCCCTCAGTTGCCCATGCCGCGAGGGACGTCACGATGCCATCGACGACCAGAGACCACCGGAGGAAGAATAGATCGAATGTGCTGTCTTCATCCTCTTCTTCCGGGGGCGCTTTCGTCGGCTCCGAGGCATTCATCAGCCCGGGCGCCGGGTCCATGTCTTCGGGGTGGGTGGGGATCAAGTTCCGCTCCTCTTCAGTAAGGGTCTTTTGGAGAGCTCCCGCGTGGGTGGACTTGGCGAACCATCTCCTTCCTCCGTCGATGATTTCGGGGAAGATGAACATTAGGAAGACGCCGCGGATCCACGCGTTGCCGGACATGAGGATGCCGTTCTCCGTGGTGCCAAAGTTGAAGCGGGAGGTTGCGTACATCTGGATCAAGATGGGAGCGTAGCCCGTTGCGAACTAGGACATGCTGTTAGTGTACCCGTTGCACTCAGATGAGTGGGCGATGAACATACCACGCCAAAGAAGATACCCAGGGCGAGGAAGACCAGGCCGTAGTTCCTGATGATCTTGCCGTTCTCGAGGCGGTACTTCTGCGGCATGAGGACTTTGATCGGGGCCAAGAAGCCGGATGCGCCCGAGGTCGTCTTTCCATTTGCCTCATCGTCGTTATCGGGCGGTGAAGGCCAGAAGATGCCGCCGTATGTTGTTGCAACTGCAAAGCAGCCAACTGCAGACACGAACGGGCTCACGATGCCAAATACATCCCCAATGACTCCTCCCACTGCGATGAATTAGCCGCAGCCCGCCATGCTCTCGAGATACACAACTTACGCAAGTAGCCAATGGCTGTGCCAATCATGACCGCACCCTGCAACCTGCCAAAGACGCCTGTATGCTTTCTTCTCTCAACCACTTCCGCAACAGCGGTGTTCAGCACAAGCCTAACGCCCGCATTAGCGCACCCTATTCAGTCACTGAGGTGGAGAAGCTTCCGGTCAACACTTACATGTATCCCCGCGGCCCGCCGAGGATGCCGATCAGCTGGGTGTACTGCATCAAATCAATGCCGCGCTGCCCACCGGTCGAGACGGCGACGATCTGGCACGCGACGCGGATGCCGAGCAAGCCGGTCTGGCTGACGAGGGCCCAGCGGGTGCCCCAGCGCTTGATGAGGTCGCCGCAGATGAAGAGGTTGAGAATGCCGCAGATGGAGGTCGTCATACCGAGGATGGAGACCTGGCGCGCCGTGTTGGCGTCGATCTCGCGGCGCATGCACTGCTCCGAAGCGGGGCCGTCAAAGGGCGGGTGCGTGTTGTAGAACTGCTCGCAGGCCATCACGCGGAAGACGTAGATGATGCTGGGTTGATGTGTCAGTTTTCATGTTCTCTGGCAAGTAGAGATGGCTGTGGATGTTCACGTACGGGACTTGGGTGATGCCGAGAGTGAGCGAGACCAGGAACCCGGCGAAGAGGATGCGGTTCGCGGGAGACCACAGGCCGCGGCCGACCCGCTTCACGGCCCCGGCGCCGGACTTGAGGAGAGGCGTCCGTTCATCTGCGGCCATTGGGACGGAGGACGTTTACGGAAGGTGAAGATGCAATTGCGCGATCTACGGCGCCGCCAATGGAGAGCGCGTGGAGGAGGCTCAAGTAGAGTTTTTAATTGACAGAACCGGGAAGGTCGTCAGGGCAGAGAGGGGGGAGGGAGGGGAGGGGAGGGGATGCGAAAGGGAAACAGGGACAAACGGTGAGGAAAACACGGTTAAAGGAAGAAAAATGGCATTGTTTCCCTTCGGCTGTGGTTCTGTTTCCCCGGATAACGAGTCGCAGACACCGTTGCGAAAAGACGTGCAGAATCCCCGCTGTTGCGTCAGAAAAGAAATGGACCTTCCACCTTTGGGTGCTTGTTGGCCTGGGACTGGAAGAGTCTCTGGTGAAGAGACTGGGAATTGCATGTGGAGCGCCACCGGTGACTGACCGACAAAAGACTGTTCGTCTATTCTTTGGGGGACTCTTCGGCTCTTCTGGGCGGTTCTGTTGGTGGCGTTGTGTGGGACGAACCAGACACAGCAGACATCAAATGGAGAACAGACAGACACGAACCATGCAAGCAGCAGATTGTCTGCAGCCGAGCGCGGCGTTCGTCTTGCCGACCCGGTGTGGGATGCTGTGGGGTGTTTGACTTTTCAGAGACGGTCATAGGCGGGAGATAAAGTCGCCGGAGACGTAACCGGCGCTCGACCGGAGCTTGGCCGGGAAGTGCTGCTTATCGTCGGTCTGGAGCTGCCGAGGCGCACGGCACGATGATGCCCCGCCGCGGGAGGGCCCGATCCCGGAAGCTTTACTGTTTACAAGATACATAAGGTAGGTTGGCTGAGACATGTGTTGATGATCTCGCTGTTGCTGTTGTTATTGATGTTAATGATTACTTGCATGAAGCTCTATGTTAGTTGCTGTTGTCCATGTTGTTGCCTATCACATGAATGACTATGACTTGCATTAAATTGAGTCGGAATTGCCCGAGGAAAACAGTTCGCAGTTATTGGATATCGTATCTCGATAGCTTCGATCGCGGGAACATGCCTGCTCCGACGCTATCTAACTCCGTCAAAGATAAGCAGCAGGGCGCAATCTCACTCACTCACTCGCTCATGACAGCGGATGTCCCAACACCAACTTGCCAAACTTTCCCAGCACAGCCACCTTCTTCACCTCCTCCAGCGCCTTCTCGGCCTCGCCCTTGAACACATCCACCACCGGCAACTCAAACTTGCTGCCGTAGTTGTCCACAGTCCAGTGCACCGACTTCCACATCTTCGCCGCCGCCTCTGGCCTCGCAGGGATCTCAACCGTCGGCCCGCCCCCGAACGCCAGCTTCACCGGCGAATGCGCCGAGGCCAGCGGCATCTTGAGGCGCTTGTTCTTCCCGCCGACCACGGAGAGCACGCTCGCGTCCGCGCCGACGCACCGCAGCATCTGCTCCGCCGAGCTGTCCTCGCCGACCGACCCGGCGCAGTCGGCGGCGTACGCAATCGGCCCCGCCCCCGCCTCCGCCACCGCGGCTTCGATCGCCGAGACCACGTCCGGGGAAGCGTAGTCGAAGCACCGCGTCGCGCCGAGCTTCTCCAGCAGCGCATGCCGCTTTGGGGATGCGGTGACGAAGATGGGGGATGCGCCGCTTGCGCGGGCAAGCTGCAGCATGCACAGCCCCACGCTCGTCGACGCGCCCCAGATGAGCAGCGGCCCTGGCGTGAACCCCGCGGCGGGCTGTTCTCCCGGAAGAGGGTAGTTGAAGATGCTGTACAGCCCGTCGGCGGCAGTCGCCACGACGGTCGTAAGAGCCGCTGCGTGGTCGAGAGGTAGGTTGGCCGGCACCTTGAAGAGGAGCTCTTCGGGACAGGCGAGGTACTCCTGGTGGGCGCCGTACTTCCACGGCTTGCCGACGCCGGTGGGCGTATGTCCGGCCACGACGTCGCCGGGTTCGAAGGGCGAGCCCGGGTTTGCCCCGACGACGTGGCCGCTGAAGTCATAGCCCATCACCGTGGAGCGGACGCCGAGGTGCGGCGCATGCTTGACATCGGCCGGGTTGACGCCTGAGAAGGATACCTTGACAATGACCTCGCCCGCCATGAGCTCGGGCACGGGCACATCGTGGATGATTTTGTAATTGCAGTCTTGGTCGACGAAGAGGGCGGGCGCTGTTGATTTTGATGGTAAAGACATGGTGATTGATGGGCTGCAATCCGAGGTGAAGATAATTGCGAGAAAGTGAACCACAAAGATGCGCTGCTGAAATGCTTCGAGATGCAATGCCTCAATAATGTGTTACAGCATCAAACACTCCATATTTACATCTAGCGTCCACATCACCCGTTGCCGAGCCCCTTTCCCGGACTATGGACTTTGTCGGGGAGGCGGTGGGACATCGGAGACACAGAGCCAAGCCGGCCGTTGTGTCACAGAACGCAGGTATAAATCCGTAAAACCGGCGGCGACAGGACATTTGGCAAACGTGCGACTTCCTCGCGAACTTCGCGAGAGTAGTAATCGGCGAGCGGCACTCTCAAAGTGTCCGTCCGAGCACTTAGCACCACGCGCCACGCCGTTGGAGCCTCGGGACTCGGGACCCTCTTTACCATTACGGGACCTAGAGACCGACAAGGGATGGATGGAACTCCAGTCTGCAGTGTCTCTGTCGCACGAGCAACTTCCGATGCGGGGGAAACTCTAAGCTTTTTTGGCGTGGCATCCCGCGGACTGCCCTGCCCCGCGTCTTGGTGTGATGGCAGGGCCCATGTGTTCAGGAGCCTCAGATGACCCCGTCCCCGGTGGTGATGGTGGGCTTCATGCGATGATCTCGTTTTATCCTGAGGCGGGAATTTCTAGATTAATTGACTTCTCGACAAACTGCGTGATAGCAACGGATTTACGGCTTTGCCGTGAAGTCTTGCCGGTGAGGGGTCGGCCGTGTCCACATTGTTTCCGTCAAGATCAAGTTGGTGGTGTAGCACATCTACTACGCAGTACATCCACGACGGGGAGGAGGTGGATCAGATGTCAAGATGGGTCGGCCCGTATAAGAAAGGAAGATGCCCCTTGGACTTATCGCAAACCTTAATCACAGCTAGGCCAGATAACGACTTTAATCATCTTCCACAAAAATATCCCGACGATGGCGCCGTACTATGTCAACTCTATCGAGGTCCTGCAGCGCCCCGCGACCGCGCCGCCGTGGGAGCATCCCAAAGAGCCAACCCGTGTGGAGCTTCCCGCCGGCCACAAGAAGACCCCGGACCGTCGCCCGCTGGATTGCGACATCATCCTTGAACGCGACCAGTTGTTGACGCTGCGGGATGGCGTGCGCATCCGGGCTGACATCTTTCGGCCGAAGACGGAGGGCAAGGTCCCGGCCGTGTTGATGTGGTCTCCGTATGGAAAGACTGGAACGGGTGGGTTTCTTTGGTGATTTATAACGCACGAGACGGCTGACGTTTGGGCGTAGGGGCTCTCAACCTGGACAAGGTCCCTCTCACAGCTGGAGTTCCTCTCAGCAAGCTTTCGGGTTATGAGTCGTTTGAAGGGTTAGTTCCCTCTCTGAACACACCCTTGCTTCTGAACTAACACTTTGAGGCAGACTTGACCCTGCCGAATGGGTCCCCAAAGGCTATGCCGTCGTCAACGCCGACGCCCGCGGCGTGGGTGATTCAGAAGGCGACATCAGAATCTGGGGCACTGGCGAGGGCCAAGACGGACACGACGCCATCGAAGAGATCGCCAAGCTCCCTTGGTGCACCGGGAAAGTCGCGCTGGCGGGAAACTCGTGGCTCGCGTTGTGCCAATGGTTCATCGCCGCCGAGCGGCCACCTCATTTGGCTTGCATCGCGCCGTTCGAGGGCTGCAGCGACCATCTCCGGGAGACGCTGAGCAGAGGAGGCATCCCGGACAAGGGGTTTTCGGGGATGATTAATCACGTCATTAATGGTAGGCAGCAACCTTTCTTAAGGTACGGCACGGGGTACTTACACGGGTTTTGCAGGCCGGAACATGATGGAAGACAATATTACGATGTTGGACAAGTTCCCCAACTGCAGGGAGTACTGGGACGACAAGAGGGCTCGCATGGATAAGATTGAAGTCCCGGCATACATCCTTGCCAGCTACTCGACCAGGCTTCACACCGTTGGTAGTTTCCGAGGATTTGAAGAGATCCCCCATCAGAAGAAATGGTGAGTATTCAGAAATGCTGCAAAAAGCCGATACTGACAATGACCAGGATCGCCGTTCACGCCACCCAGGAATGGTACGACCTCTACAGCAAATCGCGCGTCGACGACTTGCAACGCTTCTTTGACCGCTACCTCAAGGACATCGAGAACGGTTGGGAAAAGACGCCGCCGGTGCGGCTGGCGGTCCTGGGCTTCAACAAGCCGCCAATCCTCGACCTCTCCTTCGACCATCTCCCGTGGCTGGCCCCCTACACCCCCACCACGAACGTGCAGAAGCTCTACTTGACGCAGAACAAGTCTCTCCAGCTGGCGAACGAAGCTAGCTCCAGTACTCTCGAGTACAAAGACACCGAAAGGCTCGAGCTGGCATACACCTTCCAGCAACCAACTAAGCTGGCCGGCCCGACGAAGCTGGTCATCCACACCTCCTGCCCCTCACAGACGGACTTCGACATCTACGTGCAACTGAGAAAGAGGGACAGCAGTGGCAACGACTTGGTCCACGTCAACATGCCCCTGGGGGATCTCGGTGTCGCCGACGCAAAAGAGGTTCCCAACATCAACCCCCTCAAGTATCTGGGGCCGACGGGACAGCTGCGGGCGTCGAGGAGAAAGGTCGCGCCTGAGTTTGCGCAGAGTTACTGGCAGACCTTGGCGCAAGACACGGACGAGCCGGTGAAGGCGGGGGAGATTATCAAGTTGGAGATTTGGGTCTGGCCGACGGCGATACAGTTTGATGCTGGAGAGCAACTCGTGGTAAAGGTTTCCGGGAACGGTATGAGTCTTCCTGAGTTTGAGCCGCTGGCGATGCAGCCCAAGGACGTCGCGCAGCAGTTGGTGCATGTTGGCGGGAAGTATGAGAGTTATCTAGAGGTTGTCTGGATCTAGAGACATCTGGCTTGGGGTTTCAACTAGGTGGGACAGGGTACGGAGGAGTGATATTGGGAACAGAGCACAGAATGTCACCAAAACGGCGGTATGAACCAAGAGATCTGTCGAATTAACCGAGGTCATTAAATATTATGCGAGTGCCTCAATAAACTTGGCAAAGTCCAACGTCCCCAGACCCGTCGCCGGATCCCACCCCTCAGTCGCCAACCATCCGCTCTCAACCTGGTCGCCAATCGGACAGCTACCACTAGATCCGCTCGTCACATCGACAAACGCAGAGCGAAGCTTGTCCGAGTAAAGAAGAGGATTCAAGAACCCCAACGGCGCCTTGCCCTCCCTCATCCGCTTATCATTCGCAAGCGCAACCATCGCCGCCACGACCGGGGTGCTCGCGCTGGTCCCCTTCTGCGTCCAGCCGGGCTGCATCAAGAACCGCGAGCCCACCGCAGACAGATCGGGGCTCCCGCGTCCGCCAGCCGTGTACCACCCAGCGTGCGATCCGTTGATGCTGTCAATGTACGCCTTGGCGGCGGACTCCTGCCAGGCGGGCCGCTCGAAGTACTCGCTGAACCCGCCGGAGCTGTACCACGCCGGCTCGGCGGGCAGGTAGTTGCCCGTGGCGCCGACGCCGGTGACGTAAGGGCAGTCGACGGGGAACGTGGGAATGAACTTTGTGGTGTTCTTCCCGTCGTTGGACACGCAGTTGCCGGACCGCACACCGGCGGCGCCGCCGTCTCCCGTCGCAACAAGGACGGAAACCCCGCGAGCGGCGACTTGCATGAACAGGTCGCACACCTTGCGCGCATACGGCAGCGGGATGGCCTGCTCATCATCCGTGTACGAGATGGAAATCACATGGGGGATTGTCTCGCGCGCGAGCAGCGCCTCGAGGAACTCAACCCACGGCTCGTCCCCGCTCTCCTGGGGTGTCTTCTCCCGGCCGTCGTCGCCGATCTCGGGGCCGCGGCCGCCGGTGGAGAAGTAGGTCACGTTCATGGGCTGGATGAAGGGCATGCTGTACTGGATGTCGAGGAGGGCCTCGACGCCACCGCCTTCGGTGGTGGTGTTGCCGCCGTTGATGGACTCGACGGTGAGGTTGTACTTGGGCGAGAAGCCGGTGGCGTTTCGGCGGGGGCTGTACGACGCGAGGAAGGCTTGCAGGGTGGGCACGTTGGGGTACTCTTCGAGGAAGCCCGCGATGCCGAAGTCCGTGGGGGACGGGCCGTTGGGAGGGGCGTAGTTGATGTTGTAGAGGTCTACGATGCACTGGGGCGTGGTGTAGTCCCAGCAGCTTTGAGGCACTGAGGAGTGGTTAGTCTTGAGCAACTGCGACATGGATGGGAGGACCTACAACTACTGGCTCGCTTGGCCTTCTTCAGCTCCTGCACGGAGTCTTGTCTCCTGGGCGGCTTGCTGATGAACTGGGTAAGCGGGAAGACGAAATCGACATGTTCCGCCACACGGGCCGGGACGGTGTACTCCTTGGCACGGAGAACAGGCTTCTCGCCCTTGAACTGGTATTTGGAAAGCTTGCAGTCCAGCAGGCGATTCGCCTTGCCGACGGTGGTGTTCAGACGCACCCACGCGCCGTCCAGCTTGAAGTCGTGGATCTCACACGTCTCGAGCCACGACGCAACGGCCGGGTAGGCATCCAGACTGGGCTCACGAAGGGTCTCCATGAGATCCCGAGAGACGTGCTGGCCATACTCGGGATGCGACGGGTCGCTGGTGACATCGAGACGCTTCTTGAGCTCAGACAACCCGGGCTGCTTCAGGGCGATAGACAGCCGAACAGTCAAGAAGTCTTCTGCCGGGGCTACATGTCTCCATCCCAGAGGTAGTTGAGAGACGGATTCGTGAATGGCTCCGTCGCGCTGTGTCGGATGGCTGAAAGCAACACTGCTCAACAGCAGAGCGCTGACACTCGCGATCCACGAAAGTCTCATTCTGCCGGTATCTCGTAGCAGACCAACTCGCGAACAGAAGATGAGAAGATACTTGACAGGGAGGGACCGTCGTTCCCCGGCCTGAGAGACAACCGCTGTCTAATACCACGGCCAAGAGCGAAGACAAGCTTTCTCGGCAGGGTCAGCCGCCAACTGCTGCGACCCGCTGCTCGCCTTCGCAAAAGAAAATCATGTCCAATTTTTTGACATCATGATGAATGGCCTCAGGGCCCGGGGTGCCCCTGTACTAGTCGCCTTATTCTCCGCCAAAAAGTTCGTATCCAAGAGATCGGACGACTGCCGAACCTGGCTTAAAAAGAGGGGGCTTCCAGGGGTTGGCCGTGTTTTGCTTCTGGCCCCCGAGTTTTCCAGATGAACTGGTTCATTGCCTCGGTTCGCTGAGGAAGCAAGCAGTACGAAGAGGCAATATCTATGTTGCTTCTCGAACTCCCCCAAAGCCCTTCGTGAGAAACAGACGATCAACAGCATCGTCAATTGTTGAATTTGTTCAAAATACTCGTTGTAAACGGGCTGGTACTGATTCGTATCTTTGTTGTTACTAAACAATGCTTACAGACCTGTTCCTTGGTCTTCATCAGAGCCGGCAAATCGGCGCGCATTGAGCTCATTTCGCTTTCAGCGGCCACTAGAAGCACCGTTGATTCCACCACTAGCCTCACTGCAACCCCATCTAAGCACTCTATGTGAAGGTTGACACAATCTTAATACGAAGAACGTTCTTTTGCGTCCCGCGGGATGCAGGTTAGCATGGACTGTCGAGGTTTGGGCGGAGGTTACGAGAAGATCGCCGCTCCACGATCCTGCAACGGGAAGTTCGTTACGGCCCTGGTCGTGGTCACGATGTGATCCATCCCTCGGTGCTTCCCGGTTCTCTCAAAATAGCTTTTGTCATGCCCCAATTTTCATATCCGCCTCCGCGACCTCGTAGGGCGTGGACGGGAATAGCGGCAGCCTCTCCCAAAGACTCGTTAAGAAGGGCATCGTTCTCTCACTCTTTCACCAGAGGGTTTCTTCTTCACGCTTCCGCCCTCCATCTGTCACTCGTTCAGTAAGTCTCAACCGACAGGATGCGCACCCAGTCCCTCGCCATGGCGGCCCTGGCCAACACCGCCCTCGCCGCGATCCCGACCGTCAACATCCCGCTGCACTACTACTACGGCGGCGGCCACAAGATCGCGACCAACCTCGTCAACCCCAACTCCAATAAGTCGGTCGAGGTCGTCTTCGACCAAGGCTCCGAGAACTTCTGGGTCTTCGGCCCCGACGCCATCAATAACTGGGGATGCACCGCCTTCTTCTGCCAGGGCAAATGCAACGTCACCGTCGACCCCTTCTACGACTACCCCAACAGCCCGACGGCGCAGAAGCCCGAGCCGTTCCCCTCGCAGTTCGCATACGGCGGCTACACCAAGATCGTGCAGGGCAAGGTGAGTGTCAACGACACTTTCCACTTCGCCGGCGACGCGGGTCTCTCCTCAGACGTTGCCGCCAGAGTCGCGATTGCGGAGTACATGCAACAGCGCCTCCCGGCCAACCAGGACGGCACCTGCGGCTCGGCCGGGGCCTACGATCTCGGCATCTTGGGCGTGGCGCCGTTCTACCGCACCGCCGAGTGGAACACCACCGGGCCGCACGTCCGCCAGGACCTCCTCGAGAGGGGCGAGATCAGCGCGCCCGTCCAGAGCATCTGGTTCGACGAGGCCCCCGAGAACTGGGACGGCACCTTCACCGGCAATGCTGTCTTCGGCGCGATCGACCACTCCAAGTACACGGGCGAGCTCGTCAAGGTTCCCCCCGTGAAGAACGACGGCCTCGGCGCCTCCGTGGGCTACTTCGTCGCTCCCCCCACCGTCAAGGTGAAGAACGTCACCCTCGATAACAGCGAGCTGAGCACCAGGTCCTGCATGATCGACTCTGGCACCCAGATCAACGACCTGCCCATCAGCTCCTCGGCGATGGATGCTTTCGAAGCCGCGGCCGGTCTCGCCCGGGACCCCATCGGCCACACTGCCTGGAACGGCAGCTGTGACTCCATCCCCAAGGATCTGACCATCGACCTTGAGTTCGAAGGCATTGGAGGCAAGAAGGTTACGATCAAGACTCCCCTGCGCAACTATGTCCGCAACAACGCTGATGCAGCGCCTGGGTTCTGCGCGCTCAACATCGATACCGGCGGTTGCATGCTCGGCGCTCCTTTCGCAACGGCTGCCTTCTTTGCTGCCAATGATGCTGAGAACGAGATTGCTCTGGCGCAGGGCGGTGTGTCTAAGAGGGGAAGCAAGCCTGATGAGGCTTCGTTCACTCTAACCATTGCTTGAAAGAGGCGATGCAGTTTGATAACGAATAATAAGTAATGCCAGAACAAATGGGGCCAGCATTGAGTGAAATATGTCTTCGAATGTGTCATGACCCCCTCAGATAACATTCTGACTGCCTACATGGTTCTCTACAATGAGTACTTCTTGGAGCTCTGTCGTGGGTTAATCTTCACCCAGAAGTCGATGGGCCGCTCATTGAACCACCCGTAATGGTGCAGCTCATACTTGGGGTTAGCCAACTCAAAGTCAAACTCCTTGATCAACTTCGCCATCACAACCATTTGCCACAGCCATGCGTAGTGCTTTCCGATACACTCTCTCCTGCCATTGCCATAGTATTTCTTGACTCCCTCCGGGAGCTCATCATACCTCTCCCCAACCATTCGCTCCGGCATGAACTTATCGCCGTCCTCGCCAAAGACGGATCCGTCTCGACTCGCGCCAGCCAGCACAACAATCATCCCTTGGTCGTAAGGAATGCTGTACGTATTGCCACCGTTTCCTGTAAGAAGTACGGGGCCAGTATCTTCGCCTGGCTTGTGGATCGGCTCAATATTGAAGCCCGGCGCCGCAAAGGAAAGACGGAGAGATTCGCGAACAATTCCCTCAATATACTTCAGCTGGCCGACATTTTCGTACGTAAGTTCGTAATCGCCGACAACGGCGTCAAGTTCTTTCCGAGCTGCGGCCACAATGTGAGGGTTCTTCGCAAGGTGGTACATGCCCCCAGTAATGGCGCAAGGTGCGGTGCTGCTCCCGATGGGCATAGACACAATCTCGTCGACGACTTCAGAATCCGTCATCGTGTTGCGAAGTTTCCTGTGTATGTTGGTTGCGGGATCCTTGGCAGTGTCGTTCAGCATGGCTGCAAGAAGATCCTTGCGATCTGTGGGGTTGTTTTTCCTGTAATCGATCAGGTCTTGGGCGTAGGCCCTCATGACCTCGGTTGATTTCTTGAGCTTGTTGATGTAAAATGGCTTCTTCCATGGAAGTCTGGTCGGCCGTTGCACAGCCTCCCCGGTGGAGTCGTCCATTCCCTTCAGCATTGGATGAGGCGTTTTCAGATGGTTGAGCTTCTTTCCGAAGAGCGACAGAGTCGTTGCCTCGAGGTTGAGTCGGTCAAGCTCAGCTAGAGGCTCGATCTGGGAGCCTGGAGCCTTGTCCCTCCATAAGTCGAAAAGTTCGTTCGTGGTGTTGAGAAAATCACCAAACAGATGTTGAACAGATTCCTTGGTGAGTTTCGGTGCAATGATGTTGTGGTGGACCGGCCACTCAGGAGAATAGTGGTACGCCGTGAAGAGTGCAATGTGGACCGAGGTTTGGATCTCTTTGATGGGCGCGGTGACCTGCTTGCGAAAGCGCTTCTCGTTGCACACTTCTTTCACAAGCTTGGCGCCTGTAATGAAGACAATAGTCTTTGGCCCGACCTTGGCCTGGAAAATTTCGGGGTGGTCAGGGTCTTCGGCAAGCTCCTTGAAAAACGGCCATGGATTTTTGCTATTGCTCAAGAACTGGAGTATATTGTTGCCGCCAAGCTTGGGGACCCAGGCGGGGAGCCCACCCTTAGCTTGGGGGATGGCAATGATGTTGTCAGTCATTTTGGTGTGCTGGATGAGCCTTGGAAATGAAGAGTGGTAGGTACAAGAACGGGAGTAGATGCCCAGAACCGGATTCCATCAGCTCTTAAGGTTAAGCAGCAACGGGAGGTTCTCCCAGGTCAGCTGGAAGACCTCGAATATCTACTGGATTCCTCATCCATCCGTTCGCGCGTCAACTGTCTCGCAGTGGCTGCTATTTGTCTCACCGGACCACAGCATCGCGCATGCGCGACGGCCCGTAATCGAATGCAGAGCCGTTGTCATTGGATCCCTGACTGTCAATCGCAGCTCGTTTTCATGCTTCGAGCAGAGCCATGTCTCACAGTGTCAGACAAGAGCTGATTATTTTCTGCTGTCAAACATGTGCACAGCATATTCGAACAAGTTGGCAAAGTACAGCACGCTATCGGACTTCGTGGTCACTTCCCCGCTCCAGCTTTGAAATCCGATGTTTGACATGGAAGAATTGGGTGGTTGAGTTTACTGTTGCTGCTAGTTCGCTTGCTTTGGGCATTGAATATGCCGGATTGAGGAAATCCTCAAGATGTTTTGTCTATGAATCTGGATCAAGGGAAGAACTTCGAGCAATGATCTGCACAGATCTACGAGATAGCTCTCCCTGGTGCGTCGTTGGGTGAGACATGAAATCGCAGCGGCGCTTGGCACAAGTTTACACGGTGGTGCTTTGGTGTTGTGTCTCTCCAGCAGCACGGGAAAGCTACCCGTCCGTATTAGTGGCCGATCGGGGATCGACGTGGCCCTCTCCCCGCAACAGGCTTTCCGTGTGTGCTTGTCCTTGCAGCTGTAGTGAAAGCTTGCTAACTTTTCCAGGCCACAAGTTTCGAGGGAAATGTGGGTTTGATAGATACCTAACATGAGTGACTGCGCACAGCATTCGACACAAAAAAGGAGACTGAACTGAGATAAGACTCATCCGAGTCATGCCAACACTCTCTCTCGCAGGTTTAGGCGCATCATGCAAGCACACACACACACACACACACACACACACACACACACACACACACACCAGCAGCCAATCGGTCTAGAATATTAGGAGAGCCCTCGAAAATGTCAAAAAAGTGAAGATGCGGCCAGTGTGGATTGAACACACGACCTTCAGATTAAGTGATTGAAGTTTTCAATGGGTCGTAGAGACCCATACTTCAGTCTGACGCTCTCCCAACTGAGCTATGTCCGCCGCTCATCTTCGGACCCAACCAGACCGCAAGACACAGATGTACCCCACCCCACGCAATAGTAGTTGATTGAGATTCACGAGCGGCCATTTGAGCATGCTGACGAGGCCTGAACTGATCGCATTCGTTCATTCATCATTGGTTCAAGTGAAATTCAAATCTCATGCCCTTGACATTTGGTGAGAGCTAGGTTCTTCTTCGGTAGGTACAGGAGTGTTGGCTCGAGATTGAAGGCTCACTGCCACCATTTCGGACGAGAAAGGACAAGTCTGCCTCCGGCTCTGACTCTGACATCCGATATCATAAAGTCCACTGAAGATTTCGTCTATAAATAATCGCCAATGCGTATAGATGAACGATAAGCTTTGTATTAATCTCTACGTTATCGTACACTTTCCTCCCCTCTAAGGCCTCGAACGCGAATGACGCAAACATCTTGACAATTCAGCAAAAGCTGGGAGACCATGCTTTCTTGATTCGTCTCTTCGCAATTGTTTTCCAAAACCACGAGGAAAGTGGGATAAGAAACGAATGCTCCCATTCAAAGTATTTTCGGGAATCAATACCGCTCTGAGTACGGACAGCTCCATAGGAATAATCTCTGCCTATTCCTACCGTTAGTCGAAGGAAATTCCTTTATGTGGGTTACCCCGAGCGTTTATAGTATGACTTACGCATAAGAAACCGCCTCCATGACAAGATCAACAATCCGGATAATCCACGCCGGAAGCGTTGGTGCACTCAGAGTCGTTGAGTGTTGAATCAAATTTGTTGTCGTCGCAACCGCACCCCCAAAAGGCGTGCTTGCAGCCGGCGGTGCATCTCTCTCCGTTGGCGTAGTAGCAGTTGATCCAGCCGCCCGGGCAAGTACGGGCCGTGACAGTGGCTACGGCACCGAGAGCGATGGCAAAAAGAGTAAGACGGACCATGGTTATACGAATGAGTGGAAATGACTGAATAAGTAAAAGAGAGTATGTCAGGTTTCGAATGGTAGTGAGTGTTAGAGCGACGAATACCGTGCCAAAGAGAACAAGACGTCTGCATGGGCAAGCAAGGTGTTTAAGTAGACACCGAGAATCCGTGGACTCTTGAATGATTGAATACCAGTCCCATGGCACTGCCCCTCTCTTTGTCTATGCTTAATTCATACAAAGTAGGATGTTCATCGCATATGACTCGTCTGAAATCCAGCTCCCAAGTTGCCGATGATGTTCACAAGGCTACCCGGAGTTACGATCCAATGGGAACTATTATCATCCAGGCAGAACCGTTCAGTGCTCCGCACGGTGAAGTCTAAGACGCCGATCCTATTGTTCTTAAAACTTAATTAGAGGTCCGGATGGTTCTCTTCTTTCCCAACGGAGGCAAAAGAGGAAATTCCGCTGACTCATACTATTTCTGACTGCTTAACTTGAGGAGACTGCAATTTGAGCTAGACGGCCAAAAAGAAGTATTGATTGTTGCCGACGAGTCCAGGTATTAGTGTTTGACATATCGTCACTCTCGGGGTGCTCGCTGTCTCCGTCAACGCAATCTTTCTTTCGCGGCATGTCACGCGTTCACGCGCTGAATCATTTCATCACTAGCACCGACTGCAGTACAGCTGCTCGTGTTGAGTCAAGCCGCAGAAGCTTCGGTGGGCGATTCGATTGAAGGATTCGTAGATTCTGCACCGCCTCGGTGATAAAGTGAGCTTTATTTGGGCGCTGCCTGCTCTGTCTATCCGTGTATACGGCCACCCATTAATCTGGAAGCGCAGACGAGGGCGCAGGGGTTGGACTTATGTTTCGGTCAATGAGAGCCGCTGGACGCTCGGCTGCTGCCTCTATGCGTCATAAGGTCGGACCGACACCTTCGATTGTTCTAATTTCTGTGTCGTAAGTTCTCCGTGTTGCATCCCCCAGGGAACATAAGCCTCATGCGCGAGGAGAGGCAGTGTGGCGTTTGTGAACATGCCTTTATGGAATAACCAAGGGTACGTGTACCGGTAAAATTCGTCTTGTGGGATCTATTTTGGCTCAGAAACGTTGAACTGTAGATGAAAAAGCACCCTTTGGCAGGCTTTCATTCTTCTGACCTCTTAAGGAATGCAGCGGCATTTCCGACATCAACAGATGGCTGTTTTGGGAAGTTGCAATTTGGTGAGTAAGACATGGCTGGCACTTGGAATTACTGCCGGTCAGGTTTCTGGGAAAGCCCTTATTGCAGCATAATCCTTAATCCTGCTTTTTCGGTCTTTTGATGCTCAGACCGCGCCAATGTGGCTTCTGTGGCAGACCTTCTTCTGTATCTCATGTCTGTCTGTCTGTCTTTTTCGGTATCGGAGGAGAAGGACAAGGCCGCCGGGAGAGAATAATTGCACAATGCGAGCCAGAACAAAAGACATGGCAGACTTGAGACCAGCTGAGTTTTTGATTGCGTTCTCGCAAACCCGACAGTCTGGGTAACATTCCCGGTAGCTGAAGGTAGTTTCTCAGCTCTGGCGGATGTCATCCCACAGGGTTGATGATTATGTTGACTCGAGCAATACTTATATTCATTCTGACCCCTTACGCGTTACTCTTGGACTCGCGAAGTCTTCCGTCCTAACCACGATCACTCTCAATTTTCCATCGCCGTCGGGCACTGAAGTCATGATGAAGCCCTTCTGGCTTGCAGTAGTCATTGCTGACTTTATCCGAAGCTCTTCGGCTATTCTTCAATACTCTTACAACATTTTACCCAGTTCGACCACTTCGTCCACACTGCTCAGCGCTTCAGAAACATCATCATCTGTACTCTCATCCTCATCAACTGCGTCATCTGCAGCTATAGTATCGCTTAGTCTGAGCTCAAGCCCTATACTGGCAACGACTACTGTCGACCCGTCAAGCAGTCTTACTTCATTGCCAACTGGTACTGCGCTCTCTACGTCAAGCTCGACCATCATCTCATCCGCGTCTACGACGATCAGCACGTCAAGCAGTTCGAGTTCATCATCAGCCATTATCGCTGTGTCTTCCTCAAATTCAATCTTAGTGCTGTCGACAAGTTCCACTTCATCAAACAGCGTCAGTTCGTCTTCGACTAGTTTTGGGCTGTCTACCACAAGTACATCCATCTCTCCATCTAGCAGTTCCTCCGCCGGATCCACCACCAATACCTCACAAGCATCCATGATTGCAGGAGGATCCTCAAGCAGAACGTCAACTACCTCATCCAATACCTTATCTATCTCTGGTGCCAGTTCTGTTTTGAACAGTAGCATCACAGCTTCTTTCAGCACAAATGGATTGCTAAGCTCCAGCGTGCTTCTCAGCTCGACGCTTACTGTATTGCGTACTTCTTCAAGCTCAAGTGCTTCTTCGGGTTTGAGTACTTCTTCGAGCTCTGGTACTGTCTCGCCTACAACCACATCTTCATTGGCATCAATAGGCTCTACAACAACGCCCTCTTCAAACATAACATTAGTTTCAAACTCTGCAGGAGAGTCGCAGACTACGTCTTTGGAAATACAGACAACATTCCAGAGTCTTATATCAGATGGTTTCTCTTCGACTTCCAGCACTATCGTTATCCCCTCATCGGCAACGACGGTCGAACCTCCTAGCTCTTCACCATCATCAGCTACAACGATATCTCCCGGAGTGTTGTTTATGCTCACCATCTTTACGGCACCTCAAGCAACACCATCTTTTCCATAACCTAAATACCACCAGAGAGGTCGATCATCGTGGGCTGCAACAAAACTTTAATCATGAATAACTACAATAATTGCATGAGGAGATGCTGTCGGCATATGAGTCGTTGTTCCATGAAAGCTGAGGCCAAATTAGCTCACATGATGTGCCGTTCGTTTTAGCTGTCTTCCGGTTAGATTGAGTCCAATTTCAAGTTGTCATAAAACCCATTCATTCTCGCTCGCTACATGATCTACATCGCACCAAGTTCCGCAAAACACATCACATCGAATCGAAGCCTGAGAGTGTTCGTTTCATCGCTCCAACAAGGTGCCTCCTCTCGTTTTGCATAAAGACTCAAGTCTTCCTTGACCGAATCAACGAAATCTACTAGCCGTTTCGTCCAGATAATATGAACCCATTCGTCAAATGCCTCGGCCCAATAATCCGCCATTATCTCAACATCATCTCTCTCGCCATCTGTGAGATATCTGAGGACCCTGAATGCTGGTTTCGGAACCTCGACGTGCTCGAGTCTATCTATTATACCATTGGCTTCAGGCAGGACAATCGATATGGATTGCAGTTGCGGCAAGTATTTCATAGCCATCGGTAGCCAAAGTCCTCGGTCGGTGACTGGGAGAGCAAGTGCCAGATGCTTTGTGGCGCAAGGCCATTCAACTCGACCGCATGCCTGACAGAAGTTGTAGAAGTTGTCGCTGTCAAGGTAGAGCATGTCTTGTTCTGGGTTGTAAAGCCGAGCTCGGGGCAATTTTAGAAGTGCGACTTGGCGGGCCTCGGTGTTGGTCGCCAACAGTGGCGAATAAGGATTGTGAACTTTCAGTGTTGGAACGATGTCCAATTTGAGATCCGATGGTGGAATGCAAATATTTGAGAAGATGTCGAGGCAGCACTCCCAAATTCTCTTTCTAATATGGAGGGGGAGGCGCGTAAAGTGTCTGAATTTAGGTAGCGAAGGGTATTGGAGAGCATCTTGTGGGTGGATAATGCAGCCTAGGTTCAGGAACAACATGATGTAGGTTTTCATGAATTTCTGGAAAGGAAGATAATGGCTAGAACTCCGTCAAGCGTAATGCTCACGAGTATCTGCTCCGGAATGAGAACAATATACGTTTAATGAATGGGTCTTCGTAGCCAAGTTGAAACAAACATAAGGACATCGCATATCCATTTGAGAGGCCGCCAGCGACACAGAAGAAGCTTGCTGGTTGTTGGCCCAGTCCTGCCTAGACATCTCGACGCTAAGTATTCTGCCTTGCCAATGCCGCTGTAGCCGGTGGAGCCTTCCATCTGCACAACCTCACTGCGCCTCATACCGCCGCATCAAATGGACTGGCGAAGGAGCGAGCTCTTGGCGTCTTCAGAGAAAATAAAGCGTGATGACAAGAAAGCTTCTCGAAAACATCAGGAGCTCTCTTTATAGAGAGACACCCGAGAATGCGCACTTCCTCAAGCAAGTCTTGAACCGGGGAAACAAACACTATCCATGCATTTGTTTCTTCGGCCGTGGACAGACCTCTTGCTGCTGAAGGGGTTTGCGTCATTATCAAACATCATTTGGGCCAGGCTGACCAATTAAGTAGATTGGTGCTGGTCAATGACTGTATTTATCATTGGTCGGAGTGTTGTCGGTGCTAAGTACGGGCAGCTTTGTTATGTCCACAGAAGCAATCAAGTAAGCATTTTGGCATGGTACACAAAGTTCGCGACTGAGAACAACACAAAATGACTTCAAACGGTCAGATATGTACTGATACTTATCTTGTCCGATAACACAGAAGTGCAAACGGTGTGAGGCAAGGCGAGTCATACTCCCAGCTTGGATCGGAAGAGCCCCATTATGCCACGGACTGGACCAAACGGATTCTCGCAACACCACTCACACTATATATACAAGCTGGGGTAAAAGAGTCATGTATGTTTTTTGTTGAAGATCGCCTGGTTCTCGTGGCGGAAGGTATGGAAGGAGAAGGGGGGGATTCGATTTTAACTTTAGTGTTTTGTGGAACTTGGTTCCATGAAAATGAAGCGGTGTATTGAAAGCCGCGTAATTGTTAATTTGAAACCCTCTCTTCTTCATACCGCGCTTTTGTTACCTGAGTCAAATGAATTCTTTAAAAGTCTGCGCCGGCCTCGTCTTTGCTACACTGTCTGTTTCTTTCTGAACAAATCATCAGCTGGCGTACATCGATTCACCTCTTTCATTCACAATGCGCTTCTCCAGCCTCATCCCGTTCTTCGCAGCCCTGGTTCTAGCTGAGGATCAGGGCAAAGGCTGCAACCCTGACAAGTACACCATGGGATGCTCAGGCCTGAACATCGTCAAGTGTTATACCTGGCCTGGTCGATCCAGCCCAACTTGGAACTTTGTAAGCCAGTGCCCACCTAAAGCGTTGGCTGTAAACGTGGAGAACACTAACCCTGCATAGGTCGAGACTTGCGAGAAAGTCTGCTGCAACGGTATTTGCACCGACACCAAGGAGGGTTGCTAGTCGCAAAAATGACTTGACATCATTGTCCCCTGCATCGGGTGTGGGGAGGTTGGAACAGAACACAACGATGATGAAGTTATCGATACAAAGCTCGGCTACAGTGTATACAAACAAGCTCAATACAACAAGGTAGGCTAGATGCCTCCTAAGTATGTAATCAATGAACGATTCTTCCACTCCCTTTCGTCGAAGAAACTTCGCCACCGGGCATTTTCGATGCAGTGAACGGGTGGGTCCGCGCCAACCGGGGCCGGTGTCAGCCTGCGCAACTTTGCGACCTTAATCACTGCAAATTCTATGAATGCGACTTGGATGTTCAAGAGCAATGAGCGTCTGTTGATGCAAATCTTGGAGGAGAGGTCTTAGGGAAAAAGCAGGAGGATAGTCGTCTTGAGACAGTTCAGGTTACAGGTTGCGTGTCGAACTTTGCGTGCATTCAACATGGATAGATTTCATATTCAGCACCCTTTTACCAACTATGGTTCTTCCGCTCTACCGCTAACCCCAGCTCTAAGCCATCTCAACGCAAACTGTTGAGGGTCTTTTATATCCATGTCAACTTGCTTGCTCGTAAATGCCGGATTCGTCCTAACGTCTAGTGCAAATAGAGCATAGGTTTGGGCATTATTAATTCGTCTTAAGTCTGGCAGTTTGATGCATCTGTGGGTAGCTGTTTAGTCAAGGTATCGGAAACACTAGGAGAGTCTTCACTTACTCTGACGGCTTGTAGGCATGATCGGTGGAAGCCAACTCATCTGTCCAATATTCAAAATCTCCAACCACACCTGTGATGTGGGTTACTTCATGCAGCAAAGCAAACCCAGCAGCAGGTAGAAGTTGTCGTTCCAGCCTCCATGTTGACATCGATTGCTCCTCTGCCTCGTCTGATGCGACAGCTCCGTTATTGAAGAAGTATGACGGACAAATGATAATGGTGTTCTTCAACTTATTGGCAACAAGGTGTGTGCCTCGGGCACGGCAATCATCGGTATTGCGAACAGTTCCGCAGCCGATGACTAAGGTCTCTTCTAGATCCTCAAGCTCGGCAACGTACCATCTAGCTGAAGAGCCCAACGCTTCAATGGGATCGTACACCTCCCTTCTGATAAAGTTGACTTTGTCGGTATTGCTCGCTGGTACATAAGAGTAAGGATCAGCATCTTCGTGACCGCTTCGGTTCTAAGGGAAGACAGAGAGGAAGAGGTAGATTTACCGCCAAACCATCCAATGAATGCTGAGGTTGTTTCAGAATCATCCTCATAAAGGAAGTCATAAGCAGATTTGGCGTATCGATTCATCCACATAATAGACCTTTCGATGGCGGCAACCTGGTTGCTGTCGCAGAAAAATTGGCTGTTGCGACCTGATTCACCAGCTACAATCCCGATGTTTTGTTTTCGGCTTCTCTTACTTAGCAGTGATGGAGACTCCACAGCTGCACAGTGGATCAGCATACAGTAAGAAAGGAGCCATACTAGAACGAAGTGCATTGTTGCCCTTTGCAGAATGCAACATACGTAGGTAGGGTGAAATTGATTATGAGTGCTACATCCGCCCTCGTATTATGGTGGCGAGCTGGTTCCTACTCATATATGCGGATTTGCAGCGGGAGGTCTTGACGGACATTTCAGAATCTCATATTGTTGTAAACTTTGGACGCAATCCCATGGATGACTGAGTGGTCATTGCTGATGTTCTGGGGCAGACATGGCGCTATTCGGGCGGCCCGTCCGAGGGGCGAGAAGTCTACTAACCACTCACATCGAAAGTTTAAAAGCATGTCAAGATATCTTCCTTAAGCTTTACAACTTTCAAGCACCTCCTTAAGAAATACATCAATAATCTTATGTTTCGTGCTTCTCTGTAGTGACTTTAATTCAGTGAGTTAGGCAGCATGCCAGTTCAACCTTTCGCACGGAAATGTCCGAAGAAAGCTGTCAATCTGCCCGTCGAAGTTTTAAACAACAGTGGGGGAGTTCTCTAGCAATAAGGTTTGAGTGATTCAGTCATACTGTAGCCTCAGAGGAACGGCCAGGAGAATGCAAGGACCAGGTGGGTTGGGTTAACTCAAATGTATTGCGGCTAATAACCCGTTCTCATGCGCCGAGCCCCGTGCTCGTATTCTGAATTCTCCACCTTTCCAGGCCGCCTTCTGGCCGAGGCCGGTCCGGTCCGAACGCCGTCCAAGTCCGGATGAACCATCAAAATTTGCAGCTTCAGTGAGATGCAAGCTGCGAAATTGAGTCATCCTGGGACGGCTTGTGAGGGATCTGGCCCGGCCTATCCCCTGGCTGCCACTTCTCAGAGTCTCCAATCCGGTCGGCTGTAATTCCGGCTCTTCCGGCAGGATGGAGCCCAGCTTCGAGTTGTCTCTTATAAGAGACGTTGCGAAGTCTTTCAGCCTCTGCAGGTGTGAGATGCAGCTGGAATAAGTTAGCTGATTGGAATTGTGACTTCAATTTTCAATCGCACTCACATAAATCTCGATCCCGATGGCATGAATAGCCAGGGCCAGCCAGACAGCCATCCCGAAGACCATGCCGGTGGCTGCTCCAGCTTCAGCAGCCGATGTTGCGCCGGGAAGGTCGGCGTGAACGACTGTTTGCTGACCCGGATTCTCTCCTGAAAAGTATGAGGCACAGTCCGGGTACAGAGCCAGTGTTCTGTTCATGTTGTCTACCATGAACGCAACTTGGTCGCAGGGACGCGATACATAGTAGGTTCCCATGTTGCTGATGATGGTAGCTGCAGTGATCTGAATTAGACGAATAGTGATGATGGATCCGGCCTTGTTCGGACGTCAGCGTGAGAATATTTGAAGCATTTGTCGCACATACGTAAAACCAAGCTCGTAACATCCAAGCTCTGTGTTGCTCAATCTGAAGCTTCTTGATGTTGATAAACGCCAACATCATTGAGCCGATGAACATGATCGATAGGAGGCCGACGCCTGTTTGTGTTTCGATCCCGCCTCCGAATGCGTTTCGCAAGAACATGAAAATGCCCGCTGTGCTGACGAGGGACAATAGTATGATGAGATAACCGTTGATGCGATGGAAGAGCAGCACCTTGTGACGAATGACTGGAACAAATTGGAAACAAGCTAGAAAGCTGGCCGGGAGGATGGCGCCGAGATGCATCTTGATGCCGATCTGCTCGATTCGCTTCTGGTAGTAGAAACACTCCCCAGGGGCTGCACCGCCGGGTCCACAGAAAATGCTGAAGTTGAGGTACTCAAAGCGGGCGAGTGTAAATCCCATGAAAGCGCCGAAGAAGATGAAAAAGAGGACGAAGTTGTAGCCTTTGGCGAAACCCAATGGATTGTAGACTTTCCGTGCTGCTGCAACAAAGCCGTTGGCTGGAGGTCGTGTTGGCTGAACCATGTTCGCGATTGTTGTCAGCCGAGTCTAGTTTAGTTGTTCTTGTTCTTCTCGAATATAGATTCAGAGTATGAGAGGTGGATTTGCGGTGTTTGAAGCTGCTGTCTTCCAATCTTTGAAAAATAGAAACCGGAAGCTCATTGTCTTATATCTCATCATTCTACTTCATCTGCATCGTGATCGGGGTCCCGGTCGTAACACAGCCTTCTGCATTCCAACGACGTCCATGGGAGATCTGCGCAGACGCGTCTTTAGGGCTGGGAGGCGCTTGAACGATCTTGGAAAGAAGATGCGCGATAACGTCGTAGGCGGCATTTACCGTTATGCCAGACAAGGGAAATTGGAGATGAATTCTACCGCCAGACGCCCGTCTTGGCATCTAACTTCAGCCTACTCACGCATCACGAAGATCGGAGAGCTGGTTCAAACACCCAATCGAGTCACAGCGCGCGGAATGCTTCCCAAATGGGCCTAGAGGTGGCTTGCTTGCCAGCGGTTGAGTGGATCGCTACACTCCGTTGCGTTGACAGCGTCCGCCCCCCCTTTTTGCCGAAATTACGCACGCATAATCCCTGTATATACATGAAAATTTGCCCAACGCCACGTAGATATTCGTAGTACGGCAATTGACCTATTCTGATGGCTTCAATTGATCTATTTCTATTGAATCTCATTATCTGAGGGCATCGTGATGCCTCCTAAACGCCGCCGCGCGGCTCGGCAGGCGGATGATGACCCTTCTGGGCATCGTCCGTCACCCATCGCCAACGGTACGCGGAAACAACGACGTATACAACAACTGGCACAGGACGCCGCCAGAGATCCTCCTCAACGCTCTGCCTCGCCGTCGATCAGGATCGTTACGCCCGCCGAGAGGGCTCGCCGGGCTGCCGCCGCCGAAGAGGCCGCCGAGGAGGCCGCCGAGGAGGTTATCGTCGCCGAGGCTGGACCCGAGACTAATGATTTGGTGGCGGCTGAGTCTACATCGCGAAGAAAGCGTGTACTTATAGCCCCTCCGTCATCACGAAGAGCTCCAAAAGCGTCCTCTCGCCAAAAAGCAACGACAACGCAGAGGAAGCGAAAGAAGGATCCGCCGCATACGATCCGGCTCCGAAGTACTCTGCCTTCGTCGATGCCACCGTTTCGACCAGACTCGACCCCAGTTAACCCAACCCCTCGTCAAACCACTCGATTTGCGGACGATACGCCTACGGCCCCTCGCCATAGCGCTGATGATACGTTTATGTCGTTCCACGATGTATTTGAAGAGGAGGACGATATGGGTAACGAGGAACCAACTCTGCTACAAATCCAGGTTACCCGTGGCCCAGCGCTCAAGGGTAACGGTTTACCTGTTCTCGATCTAACCATCGAGAGCATCGCGTATAACAGATTCAGTATTGCTCCTGTATTAGATGCGAATAGTAGAGACTGGGAGGCAGACAGCGGCGCCCAACTTGAGGCAGAAGTGGCTCACTCGTATATTGTGAAGAAGGCCAATATCGCTGTTGTCGTTGCTTGGAGGAAGCCCACCAACGCATCTAAACCAACACCAATCTTCACTCGGGTCTATCCGTCTACTGGAGGGGTCACTTGGCCAAGTATTCCATGGGTTGATATTGTCCCCTCTCTTGAACAAGCTGAAGAGAGGGGTGAAGTCCACCTCACCGTCAAGTGGCAATACAGCGCCGTACCAATCTCTGGTGGTATAGTGACTGGCGTACGAACGCCTCGAAAAGGTGGCCGAGCAGGCGTTTCAGCCGGCATGCAAGAGGCGATCGATCGTGAGGCTAACGATCCTGCAAACGTCGAGCGTCGGAAGGAGGGTATGCACAGACAACTTCTCCGTACGCACATCTGCCCAGAGTACCAGAGATGTAAGAATAGTTCGGGCGACGAGAAGTTCAACTGGTGCTATATACTAGGCCAGAAGCACTACAAGATCAAATCTCACCATATAGAGAAGTGGGCGAAGGCTATTATGACTGGACAGGCTGGCGTTGACAATATGGAACCACCTAAAGAACTGCTTGGTGAGATTCTTCACGACCAGTTTATAGAGGATCAGAAACGCCAGGGCAAGAGAAGTAAGAATATCGTGGAGGTTGATGATAACCAGGAGACGACAGTGATGACGGAAGAGAAGGCTGAAAATGCCGCACTTCCATCATCAGGGTCAAGATCTGGCCTAACCAACGCCAACAGCAACGCCATCGTCAATATATACGGCAACGCGGGGGCGCCAGATCGTCATCTTCAATATCCTAACCCATACGTACAGCTGCCGCCGCCGGCGCCGCCGCCGCCGGCATATTGGCCATATGCGAACATCTCACAGTATTCGTTGCCAACTCTTCCGCCATTGAACCTTCCAAGCACTCGTCAACCAAGTATCGCACTCCCGATTCGTTCGTCCTCGCCAGTGGTACCGGATTCGCCTCGAAAAGCTCTAGATCAAGTGGCCAGCTTCATCAAGTGGTTTATATCCGTCCGCGGCAAGCGATATAACGTCGACGAAGGGTTCAGAAAGAAGCTACAGAAACTGCGATCAGTAGACAGTAGCTTGCGGGCAATTCGCAAGTTACCAGATATTTGGTTTACTGAACAGGGTTTTACTCAAGATCTTACCGAAGATGTCAGGAACTCGATCAAATCCTTCATAGACAACAGCGCCTACTACGGAGGGCAGTCTGACGCCCTCTCCGACGTGGTATCTCACTCTGAACTTCATTCAAACCATCGAGAGTCAGAAGGAGATGTTTATACAAGAATATACGCTGGATTGCCAGGAGGGACGGCGGCGGCGCCAGTTGAAAACTCTGCGGCGCTAGTTTCAGGCGAGTTGGGGTCATCCCGACATATCGACGCCCTAGTGCCACGTCAATCCATCGAGCAAGAGATCCGTGGTACGCCAGTTGAAGTTGGTCGACGTGGTGAGTGTATATAGAGCTGTTTACTGTCGAATATGGCTAACTTTGTAGGCGTTTCGGAACTCTTTGGTTTCGTTTCGTCACCACTGCTGTCAGCGTCGCAGATGCTGCCCACGCAGTTACAGATCGAACAAGACGAAATCGAGCAAGGCGATGAGGACAATCAGATTGAAATCTCGAGTGATACGTCGTCAACAGAGACGTATTACTCGGAGGAGGATAACGAAGAAGAGTGATACAGCAAGAGTGGTGTGAAGTTTGACTGTATGCGCGATTTTTTTGCATGACGTGTTCAACCACGGAAAAGTCTACCCATAGCCGTAGATTCAACACTGCCGCTCTATACGTATAAAAGCAATAGAATTACTGTTATTTTGGATCTGCAAACAATACACTTCGGTCCATCCCGATACTGGTTAGGGGCAGTTGAAGTCTCTGACTATGGTTGAAGTCTCTGATCGTGATGACGTGTCATCATCACAAATCATCGTCACAAGCATCAACAACGCGTTTCAGCCGTTATACAGGCAAAATTGATATGTATACGTAGCTACCGACGAAAACAATGGACGACGGTATATTTTTTGTGTTCTGGTGCGCTTGTGGCTAACCTTTTGGCAATCTTGTTGGCTACAATCATGGATTTGATGATTGACCATCATATGACGACACGATTAAGATCTATTGCGCGCGAACGCACGATGAAAATTTGGATTGCTTGCTGATGTTCAATATTGGCAGCAAATCCTCCCTTTTATAGTTCGATATCGTCAAATATATGCTCTGTCCCATCAAAGTTGACGAACGAATGGCGGAAATGGCCCTCGATCTGGGGTAGACGATACCCAATCTCCATAGCGCAGTCACGTAGATATTCCATGAAATCCCGAGTGTCATTCTCATCGTTGTTCCACTTCGAATACGTCTTCCTGATGTATCGCTTTAGATCGCCGAAGTACTCTTCGATGGGGTTGAAGTCTGGTGAATACGGAGGCAGAAACTCGAGATGGACACCTGATACCCGGCATAAACCCTCGATTTCAGGTATACGATGGCAGGAGAGGTTATCCATAACGATGACAGAGTTTGGCTCTGGAAAACGCCCACATTTCGGGATAAGGCACTCCTGTAGCCAACGAAAGAACCCATCGCCGTCAGTCGTACCATAATACGTAGTCAAGTGTAGGATACCGCTCAACGTGAGGGCTGGCAGGATCTGTACGCGAGAGTTCTGAAACCGATCAATCTCTGCAGTTCGAAACGCAGCAAGCCCTTTCGGCGCCCATCCAGTCCTCCGTATCCCAGTATCCTTATTGACGCCGGATTCGTCGACGAATACCAGCTGGTCGGGGCGATATCGTCGTATACGGTACAAGTACTCGTATCGTAGTTCGTCACTTCGCTGAGCAGCAATAATCTTGGACTTCTTGTTCGTCCAGCCAGCTGAGTTTAACTGTCGACTGATTGCAGAACGACTGATCTGGATCTCGAAGGCTTCAAATAGGAAATCTTGCATCTCTTCAAGAGATAGATCGCTGCGGTACTGCAGTAGTTCAAGAAGCTCTGTACGATGCCATATTTCCATCTTTTGTCGACTCTGGCGGCACCTCTTATATCTCTGCACTTCGCCAGTGATATTACGTCGTGATCTATGTCGTCGAATCGTTCGTTCGGTACAGCCAACGATACTTGCCAGCTCGTGGGTCTTTTGGTCTTCGAATGGCAGTATCATCGCGATCGTCGATAGCTGTAGATTCGATATTCTGGGCGCCATTGTATCGTCGTCGTCGCCCGGCGTCTTTCTCGATGTATCTGATATAATAAACCACGGACATGTACTGACCAGCGGCAAACTGTAAGTAACAGGGCACAATCTATACAGCAGTAGACTCTTGCTCAATATCGTGAACAAGCTGAGCTATCAGGAGAGTCATTAATCCTGTTGACTGCCAAAGCATTTGCTCTGAAGAACCGTATCAAGCCCCTTGGTATGCTTATATATTACTCAGAGCCATACAAACCGTATGCTGAGTAGATATATAAAGTCATACAGCAGGTCTCTTCTTCTGTTCCTCAGCAAATGTCATCTTGATCTCTCATGACGAAAATAGACCTTTTGTTGGTCGAATGGTATGGGGATGAGGTGACTAGCTGGGTTGGCAATGCCTCGATGGGTAGATTGACTGCTACGGAAGCATGAAATACACACCTTATGTCTCTATCGTGTAGTTATACGTTTGAATACTACTGGGACTATAGTGATTGACGGCAATTGAGGTGTTGGTGATGACTTTGACGCGTTTTGCGTGCGATGCAGAGAAATGCGCGTCACAGCGTAAAATTGGCTTTTTTTCATGTTTTTGCATAAGCGGGGAAAAAAAAGGGGGGCGGACGCTGTCAACGCAACGGAGTGTAAGGAGGCTTGGAATCCTTCGAGCGTTTGCAGGGCTGAAAATAAGCCAATCCTTCGTCTCCAGCAACGTGGATGCGCCTTTTGTGTTACTTCAAGTGTCGTCGTCATTGATCTCAGCGTGCATAGCTCATCGTCTTCCAGCATTCCTGACAAGTGGTTGCTGCATCATTCGTCGATTTCTAAGCCTCCACGACAACGTCTCGCGTCCAAGCCCGCGGCCCCGCGATTGAGGCTTGCTTGGTCCGGGACAGATCAGATGCAACCGTTCCGCCGGGAGATAAGCCTACTTTCCGATCGCTGTCACTCCACCGATGCCCCGGAGTAGTTAAAACGGCTCTGGCGCCCACGGCCGCTCACCATTCCCAAATCAGAAGCATCCTGCGCCGGGTGATTCTCTCTGTGCGAACGCTCGCTTTCCCGTCTGGGATCCCACTCACAAGATGGTTGGAGTTCCGGGACGATCCAAGGGTTGCAACACATGTCGCAAGCGGAAGAAAGGAGTGAGTGCACCAGAACCCTTGGGCCCCTATCATACATGCGCCTGATCATTGACCCCGTGTACGGTAGTGCGACCTCCAGAGACCAGTATGCGGGCAGTGCCTGAAGGCTGGCATCGAGTGCGCGGGTTATGAACGGAAGCGCATCTTCGTCAATGCCACGTCCAACAACCCGAAGCCTAAACATACAGCTCTCGCCCTTGTGGCGCCTCCCACGATCCAAGCGCCCCTATTTTCTCATTCCGCTTATGAGGAAAAGATTCTTGATCTGTTTTGGGAGACATACATGCCCGATGCCCCGGCTTTCACCCCAGGAACCCCCATTGTCCGGTACTCTCATTCAGACTGGGCTGCTACAGTCCAGGATCTTTACCGAACGGATGCAGCACTGCGCCAGAGCCTGCTGGCTATTAGTCTTGGAACCATCGGCCGACGCGACAAGCAAGTATGGATGATAGATGAGGGACTCAAGTTCTACTGCCAGGCACTTGGTGAATTAAACACTGCCCTACGGCATCCTACGCGATGGAGGTCAGATGCGCTGATGGTGGCTTCAAGGATCCTCGGTCTCTATGAGGTATGTGCATTCCAAACCCCCTTCTTCCTCTGCGAAAAACTAAGACTCAGTTCATTTCAGCTCTTATACGGCGCAGATGATAGAGAGAGACGGGGCATCTCCCAAGCCCAGAGCTGGGAAGGTCATGCCATGGGAGAAATGGCCCTAGTGGTGCAGCGAACACCACAGAGCCATGTAGACGGCCACGCGCACCAGCTTTTCTGCTCTGGGCGTGTTCATCAGGTACAACACTTCTCATCAACTATTCTTGTGGCTTCTTTTATTCTAACGCATTAATAAGACAATTACACACATCAAGCGGCGGCAAAGATGTCCTTTGAGCCATCATATCTGGAAGACAGTACCCTGGAAGCATCATCCGAAGTCTTCCAAAGACGCACTAGTAGACATCTTTGTTGATATTCCGGGTATCCTCGAAGATCTCGACGAACTGCGTGATTGCGAACCAGGGATCGAGAAAGAGGCAAAACAGAGCAGACTGGTGAATGAATGCTGGCGCATCGACAGAGAACTTACACGGTGGCTTGACAACATGGGCCCGACAGAAGAGCTGGAAGACCTCGAAAGAAGAGGTGTCGACAATCCCACCATGTGCGACGTCGTCATAACATCGATCATGACCTTGTTTTGGACAACTTCCATTTTGGCCTACAGCACTCTTCGCCTTGCTCTTGGCCCAAAGCCTGACATTGAGCTGCCGGAGCGAACCAACCCTAGGGTTTTCTGTACCAAGATCGCCAACGTCGTCGATGTCTTCTTCCATCCAAATGCAGGGACCTTCGGTATTTCATCTGCGCCTTTGCCGATCGGCATGGCGCTGGTGTACCTGAACTCGACTGAGGAGGGGTTCAACTCAGAGGATAAACGGAAGCTTGTCGGTTTCTTCGGCATGCGGGCTAACAACGGGATTGGAATTGGGAAGTTCTTGATCAGTACCCAAAGCGACGGCATCGTGCCGAGGGGCGCAGTACAGTATCCCAAGTGCGATGCTATTAAGGACAAGGCAAAGAGGTGGATGGGAGCTGTAGGGTAGTCAGATCATTCGGCTGTGAAGTAGTCCCTTTGTTCTAGCTATCTACATGTATCTATATTGGATATTCAAAGTATCGAAAAAATCCTTAAGATAAAATAGATAACTCATACATCCAGTACCTCCAACGCACCCTACTTCTGTCCGTACTATTCCCAAAGTCGCATGACTTAAAATAGTTCTTTCGTTCCAATGAAGCCCAGGTACACCCATCGCCGCTTCCACGTTTCCTGCGTCGCCAGGGTCAGGCGGAGTTGCTGCAACAGTCGTGCTCAATGAGTCGTCCCAGTAGGGTTCAACCTCTTCACGACGTCTTCGAGCAATTTAGGGGTAGTAGCAGCCCCAGTCGTACTTCTTCTTGCCCTGAGGGTCAGCGTAGGCGTTACCGCCGTATCTGCCGGCGCAAAAGGCACCGACGTCAAGGTTCCTTTGATTGTTGCCATCCGTGCAGTACCAGTCGTAGGCACTATTGGCAGCATTGTCTGCTTTGTCGTTTTGAGCATGAATTGATACACCCCACTGGCTAACACAGGCCGCGTTCATATCAACGCCGCCAGCCCATGTGCGGGCGGATACAGGGGCCGCAAGCATAGCGAGGCTGGCGATGACGCCAATGATGGTGTGGCAAGCGAACATGTTGGATGGCTTTGGTTTGTGCTGTTGAGTGTTAGATATGACGGCATCAGTATCTGCTTGCAAAAGGTCTTACGTATAAGGCGGTGCAGAAGCAGAGACAAATTGTGAGTAGAGGTATCGGATAGTGTTGTGAACGTGGTGGTGAGTGGTGAGAGAGACTTAGAATCTTGGACTCTAAAGCCGTATTTATAGATGGATCTTGAGCTGTAAGACTGGTCTGCCGCAGTGTATAGAAAGCATGATATGAACGGCCTCTAAATGGACACTTCGAATCTAACCAATCTCCTTTGAGACTGCGGAACATGAGGTTGTATAAGGCATACAGGGATATTGCGGTTGTATGTTATGCCCTAAACGGACTCACCTATATGCATAGCTATTGGATCGGCGAAGATTTTGATTCCTTTTTTCCGCACTTGGAGTCAGATCGACGAGCAGGTGGGTAAATATTACATGCATTATGCTTAGACTGTGTGGCTCTGGAGTTGCCTTACTCTATTAGGGTGTGTCTACAGCTTAGAAGATAGCTGCCTACAGCCTGATCTAGGAACTGAATGTTGCTATTTATTCAGCTCCTCATAATATAACTAATAGTTAGTTTATATTCTGAAAAAGTCCTAATTTGGATCTGCTTAAACCTTTTAGAATCTGTTAACGATGAAACACTAACATTAGTACCTACAGTATATTCTCACTGTTGATAGATCTCTATAGTTATTAATAAGTTGATTCTAAGTGCGAATAACAATAAAGTTATAAGTTTGGATAATACTTCGAGCATATCAGCTAGGTGATTAATGCTACTGCTCTATGCTATATGTCTATAGTAACGTTAATAAAGCAAAATTTCATTTTGATCCCTATTGCCTTATCGAGGCTACGACGCTTTTCTTTTGCTTCCTCTCACGAGGCTTTCATAAACTTTTAGCGAGTAAGTTACACAGAACACAGTCAGCGCTAGCAGGTGCTCCACTGTAAGCAAGAGGGGCGCAACCAGACAAACAATACACATCTATTGCAGCATTATATTAGTGTATTCTTCTGATTCTGTGAAAACAATTCATTCACGCTTCACAGTTGCTTCAATGAAATGGATGGAGTTGTCGCTGCGCCGCTTGCGAAATCGTTCCGACCTGCTCAGCATGAGCCCCTTGCTGTACTTTCGTGGCTTGCGTTAATACGAGTAACTCATCGGACACCGGGCATAACGCTGCAGGGGAGACCACTTTTCTAGGGACGCGAAGAGTATCCGGATGACCGTGTAACGAAACATTAACGGGGGAGCTCACTGTCACTAGGTAGACTACATGACGGGCCAGTCATCCACACAATACGTCTGCCCGGATTCTTTAAGCTTTGTCATCATTTTCTAATTGTCTCCGTCCAGAACTGGTCTAATGTCATCAATCCACATCTGGTACCAAACAGCCCATACTCACTCAAGTGATCTCGAAGTTCGTAGGCTTGCTTTTAGCAAGCCCGTGACTTGAGAACACAATGACATTACTCCATTCAGAAGGTGTATTCACAGCTGAGTTCTGGGTTAGTCGGTGTCCACACTCATGTTATTGTCGCTACGTACATCCAATATTCGTGTGCATTCAGGCCTTCTTTGCTGGTGCCGTGCTTGCAATTACCTCAGAAACGTTAGTGCTAACATTCATTCAGGTACGTTGAGCCTTACCAGCTTCCCACGCGTTGATCGTCTGCCCCTGAACAGTGAACTGTGGGTTGCAGACACTAACGATTGTCAGTGTGTCTGTGATAGGGCGCCAAGGGACAGCCATTTACACTGCATACCTTCCAAAGGTACCGCATAAGTAGTTGGTCCACTTGACTTTGAAATCACCCAGCTGGCCGTCGTGGCCAGAAAGTTCTTGGCCGACGGAGCAAGGCGCCGAGTCTTTGCGAGACAACGTCACATCCGGGTTGTATCGGGAGTGATCGGAGTTTGTGATCTTCACTATGTGTCAGTTTCTTCCCTTCCGATCTGTATGAGGGAGCTTTAGACGAACGAGAAGATTACAAGTCGCCTTGTTCACGGGTCCTGGAAGAACGCCCACGGTTGGTCCTCCGAGACCGACCGAGACCCCGGTGTGGACTTCAAGCCAAGCAGAATTAGCTCGCTGCACAATGTTCACAGAAACCCCGTTGTTTCCCTCGAGTGTGGCTGCAGGGAATGCTCCTGTGCCCAAAGGCAGAGTCCAAAAGAGAAAGTTGGCATGCATGTTAAAAGGCAGGATGGGAATGATATGAGATGAATTGGAATAAGACTGGTTTGGCTTATTTAGTTCTACATCGTGATGTGCAATTGAGCTTTAATAGCCCATGAGAATGGGAGTTCATTGAAGCTGACTCCAATCTCAATGTCGATATGTCTACACAGTCCGGCACCTGCTGTATACACGAAACTTCAAATTTCTGCCTGAAGCTTGAACGTCGTCTTGACGGGCTGCCCGAATGGTCGATGAAATGCACGAGACAAAAGGGGTAGTTGATGGGCATGTTTGTACCCCTGGTTTTTACACTTCGCAATGGCAGCGGAGAATACTGCTGTGTGTGCTTAGATCGTGGCTGTTCCATAGTTTCTTACAAATCCTCATGTTGTTTCTCGTCCTGTGATCGTCAACGTCTTCCTTATCTGAAGCACACATCCCCTGGTCGCTGAGTCCGGAAGGTCCGGCATGCCCAGTGACAGCTCATGAGCTTCCCTTCATGCCAATGACCGCCCATGCTTAAACGGTCTTACTAGCTCATTTGGCTGGGAAGGGCTTCAAAAGTCCAGACCACTCATGTAAGGATGCATGCATTGTTACCCCAACGTGGGGCAGGCAACAGTTGATCGCCAGACAGGGGAGTATCAATATGACTCGTAGCATCGCGCCAATGTTGCACGGCTCCCTACAGCAGTTGAGCATCGTATTCGTCGCCACAAAAAGGCCGAACTGATCCCATGTGAAGCACCGGTCTTATACATTGCCGACAATTGTGGTGTGCAGGCCTCCTATCCCATCGGCTACCACGACATGCCAGAAACCCTCCCCAAGGCAGAGTAAGGCCAAGCACCTTACGCCGAGAAACACGAAATACTTTCAAATTACATCCGAATGCTCTGAATGCAGGTTGAGATATGACCATATTGTGGGTAGATTGTTCTGGCGTTTGGTAGCAGCCGATGAGACATTCCCTGCTAGTTTGAAGCCAACCCTGTTGGCAGACTCAGCTGCCGCTTTCGGCCAGGAGATGGTTCATCGAGCGGGACTACATAATTCCATTTCGCAGAAGCTACAGAAATCTCTCATTCTGTTAGCAGTGTGCGACTAATAGATCCAGAACCTTACTTTGTGGTCCTCGAGTATCATGATATTTAAAAGTTAACTATTGACTCCTTTTGTTCAGATTCCCGGGTTGCCCTGGCTTCACAATCGTATTGAGCCTCACCACCCGTCTGCTCTCGTACATGTATCTTACCATGAAGCTATACAGCTTCTTTGCCACCTTGCTTGGCCTATCTTTCTCTGCGACTTGCCAGGCAGCCAAGTCATTTTCGGCTTCGAACCTCTACTATGCTGCTGGCTTAAACACCCAGCAGCAGACCTTCCTGTTTGAAGGTCTCCAGAGCGCCGGCATCAAGGTTCTGCGCGTGTGGCTCGACGGTAGATGTCCCTTGTGATTCTTCAGAGTTCCAGGTATTTTTGCTAACTACCTTACCCATCGACACAGGCCAATCCGAAAGCCAGAAGGGCAGCAACATTGACACTTTCAACCCTCTCCAAGGGGACAGTCCTGACGCCTGGGACGAAACAGTGCTCAACCGACTTGACAGCTTCATGAACCGCGCCCATGGCTATGGCATCAAACTTCTCATCTCTATCCACAGCTACAACGCGCTCGAAGGAAACCGTGACTTCTATGGAAAGTGGTATGGCACCGGCGACTTTTACACCAACAACGATGCCATGGCCTACTTCAAAACCCGTATCGCACGCGTCCTTGGGCATGTCAACCCTAACAACGGCAAGACATGGGCGCAGAGCTCTGAGTATATCTTTGCCTTTGAGGCACAGAATGAGGCCATGCATCCTCAGGTGAACATAGATCTGATCATCGCCAGAGTACTTGACTTAACTGACTCTCTTCCACCACAGGGCAATCCAGCAGCTTTGGCCTCGTGGCAGTGCACTATGGCCCAGTCGATCAAGGACAACCTCAGCGGGAACTCCGATATCTTAGTTACAACCGGAGGCGGTGCCTATGTCGACAATTCTCTTTTGGATCCCTACTTCAGCTGTGCCGCTCTTGACGTCCTTGCCATCCACGCATACGGTATCGACGATTTCGCCACGTCAAAGCTTCGACCGTACGTCACTAAGGCCCAGAATGCCGGAAAGAAGCTCATCATGCAAGAATGGGGCGCTTGCTACACGAATGCTCCCAACCACGATTGCAACGGTGGAAGTCCGCTCGGCACTAGTGCCAGAGACTCGAACATTCGCAGCTGGGCCGCCAGTATTGACGCTGCAGGGATCCCGTGGTTCTACTGGCAAATCCTTCCTAATGCCGACCCCCACCAGGGTTGGGATTACGAGGTGGGAATCAACGATGTGAATTGGGATGCAGTCAAGACAGCTGGGCTTGCCGCTGGTCAGGCTGAGTCTGCCTTTGACTTTGATCGCTATCTGTTGTAGGAAACCAATTTTATGGGGCGGCTTGAGGCAGCGAACACCGCAACCTGGAATTGCAAGGGAATGTTCATGGAATGGGACATGCGACAAGCTGAAAGACGCAATCATCCCTGGTGTGATCCCTGCGTAGAAAGGCTGTCCGGGGTGTGTCACACTAGGGCAATCTAGAGCAGGCAGCAATTTTACACTTGTAGGGTTGGATTCGGTTTCTGTGACTCCACAACTCAGCCCACAACCTCAGCTTCTTATTGCGTAACTTTCGCAGCTTCACCCACAGCAACGAGGCAATGTCCTCGTCAGCTTCAATCGCCCTGA